GAGTAACTCGGCCCATGCATTGACAGTCACCCCAATGCCAGATGTGACTCTTGGTGGCTGAGGAGTGGCTCTTTGGGAGGCATGGACATGAGTCAGAAGAGGGAAGGGGCCTAAGCAGGATATTGTCAGTAGAGCTTGCTTCTTGTGATGGTTTTGCTGTGGGAGAGGAGCACTGATGATACATAGCTCTACAGACATACATGCCTGTAGGACTCTGGTGACCAGTACAGCTGAGTATTGATAACACTTGTGCTGACTGCGATATCTTGAAACAGTCCCTGGCTGGAGTTACCCCCAACACTCGTTCCACCCCCCAGACTGGTATTGTCAGCACTTCTGTGTTTGTTTCTGTCTTAGCTGAGGGGCTTCGTTAAAACATTGACTCATTCAGAAACTCTGCTTCAGTGGCTGCCTGCATCTGAACAGATTGTATTTCAAAGCTAACTCATTGATGCTGTTTGATTCCCATTTGGATGATTTCAGATTCCTGGGAGGCAGGGGGCATGCAAGGCACGCTTCAATCACAAGTTCTGGGTGCCTCCTTTTCAGTGTGAGTATGTGTAATACCACTCTACAAATGAGGGGACTGAGGGCAAAGTTGCTAAGCTCCCCCAAACCATGTTGTACAGAGGTGACAGAGGCAAGGACGATGCTGGTGCCCTCCTTCCCTGGAAGTCCAGCCTCCTTCCTGGTTTCTCCATAGGAAGCCACCCGCTGACTTCTCTTTGGGCAGCAAGTAATTATCTGCAAAAAGTTTTGACTCCCAAATGTCTGGGTACTCCTCTGCTCACAGACCATTTTCTGTCAAAAATTAAATCTTCAAAAGTCGGAGACTCTGTCCTTCATCTGGGAGATGGGGGCTGGACAAGCTGAGTGAGCTCAAGGACACTGCTTGGCTTTGGAGGGGTTTCAGGTGATGGAGACTAGGTTTCAGGCCTCCCTCAGTGGGATGGTGGAGCAGCAGGCCCCTTTCTCTGCTGCCCTTTTCACCTGGCCACGTTTCCTGGGTCGTGGGGACGGAGCCAGACAGTTGATGTGGAAACTCTCTCATAGTGAAGAGGCATGGGGGATGACAGTAAGTGTGTGTTCTACTGAGACAGAGAGTGTGGGTGTAACAGCACTGGCCAGGTGCTGCTGAGGCCAACAGAAAACTCAGCCCTGGTCCAGCATATAGAAGGAGCCCCTTGGTCCACAGCAACTGCCCTTGAGCTCCCTGGGGCAGGAATGAGAGAGTTTCCTTTTTGATGGTAATGTGATTTGGGTTGCTGAGATCAGTGCCTGGGTTCATGATCAGTGTCTCCTCTCCTCTTTCATTTTGAGTACATACCCTCCAGTCTTTATGAACTGCTGTCAAGCTGTGTTCTCACTGAATAAACAGGTTTCAGTTTGGTTTTTACCAACCTCCTGGAAGGCTTCCACATCCTGCCTCAGTAGTCTGAATCTGTGTTGCAGCCGAGGAGGAAGGGAAGCTCTGTCCCTTCCTTCTATTCATCTTCCATGGTTGATTTTCTCTTGGGAGCCATGGTCAGTGGAGAGAGTCACTCTGGAGTCTCCAGGGCACTTTCAGGGAAGTCGGTGGGTTAAAGGTGCCCTCAACTTGGCATAAGCAGGGACCCTTATTTTTATCTGCATCAAGATAGGGTATTTCTCCTAGAGTGGGTGGGTTAAAGTTTTTAATTGAAAAAATAGGCTTTGAAAGCTTGAAGGAAGGAAATCAGATCAAGTCCACCCTGGGCTATATAGTAAGAAGATAAAAGTGCATCAAAACATGTCAAAGTCATTCCAGAGGCATGGCAGGCGCATGGACTTCTCTGGTTTTACCTGTCCAGTCCCATTGCAGACCCCAGGAAGAGTGAGGTTTCAAAAGTTCTAATGACTTTTCATTTTCCTCATGTCTGCCCGCATGCTGGTGGATGGTCTGGACTGTCCAGTGTGGGGCAGTGAGCTTCTCTCATGCTTCTGGATTGTTCTCCACCTTCTGTCATCTTTCATGTTGCTCTTCATGTAAGAGGAGCTAAGGTGGGAGGAGTAAGGGAGGAAGAGGAAAAGGAAGGGGAGGAGCGAGGTGAGGGAGAGGGAGAGAGATGTAGCGCCATTGGATGACCAAACATGTACCAAGAGCAGTCCTGGGTAACAACTTATCTGGGTTAATTAATTGGGTAACATCTATAATTATATGGGCATATTGTTATTGAGCATTACCAAATATATAAAGCCTTTAATTAATATTTAAGCTTTAGAGTCTCCTTTTCTACTGGGCCCATGTGGATGGCGGGATGGTCTGGGCACAGCCCAGCTTTGTGGAGACAGCGTGGAAGATTGGCAGAGCCATCTCCCACGCTGGCATCTCATGGGTGGAAGGGCCAGTGTCTTCTGATCGCCTGAGCAGACAGCATAAACTGAGCAGCGGCGATATGCTGCTCCTGGCCGCAGCCTAGGCTAGTTGAGAACATGGTGGCTGATTAAGAAAAGCCAGATTGAATGCCACTGATTTCTGAATCTTTCGCAACATTTTCACAATGACTCGTGTCCTCTCTTAAATCCTAGTACAAGACAGCCATACCCCTGACCTGAGGTCCCCATCAAGGGCCTCTATCATTCTGTACATCCCAGGTTGACCCCTGTGTGGGACAGGGGCTTTACACCTGCATTGCTAGCAAAGCTGTAGCCCAGTCTCCTGCTAGCCTCAGCGTTTCACCCAGTGTGGCTGCAGGTGGCCTCCTGACAACCCTATGGCTTCCCTACAAGGTAATTTCTCAACATCCAGGCTAGCAGGCCAGCTTCCATAAGACACATTTATCATAGGACGTTCCTGGTCTCAGTTCTATGGTCTACCTTCTCATGTTAGCTCAGTGTCTTCAGGACTGTGCACCCAGCCTCTCACAATTCCCGCCTCGTGTCACATTCCCCAGAGGCATTTCAATCAGGTCCACCCATGACTCTGTGCCATGTGTATGTCCTTCCTCCTGCAGCCTCTCTGTGCTGCACTCAGGCTGTTCAGCACCTCCACAGTTCTTGTCTGCAGTCTCCTGACGTGCCATTCTTGTAAGGTTCTTCTCCCTCCTTCCACCTCCCTCAGCACTTGTAGGCTTTCCACTGACAGCCCCCACTGCTGCCCTCTTCTGTGTATCTTTCTACTAGCCTCTTCTAGAAGGCGGAACTGCAGCTTTACATGCTAAATGCTAGAGCAGACTACACAAAGAAATGTTGATGGAACAGACGTGGGCAGGGAGGAAGGGGGAGGGAGAAACTTCATGACCCTGGTCCATGTATGTCTGTGGAGCTATGTATCAGTGCTCCTCTCCACAGCAAAACCATCATAAGAAGCAGGCTCTACTGACAATATCCTGCTTAGGCCCCTTCCCTCTTCTGACTCACATCCATGCCTCCCAAAGAGCCACTCCTCAGCGACCAAGAGTCACACCTGGCATTGTGGTGACTGTCAATGCATGGGCCGAGTTACTCTCTTTGAGAGCTGGCCGGAGGGCACTGTTTTCCTTCTCAGTCAGCAGAACATAATTTCCTTCTGAGAAGAAAATACATGCTAGCTTCAGGGTGAGAACACTGATTTTCAGGACTCTAAGTTAGGTCTAAAGCACAGGTAAAAAAAAAAAAAAACAAAACATGTCATATTCCACTTTATTATCATTATAGCATCCTTGGGGAAGGATTTATTTAATAACACCTTAAGTGTGTATATTGCTATTCTAAAAAGTGACAAGCAATGTAATATGACACACTTGTCATTGTGGGCATTCTATATATTCATCCATTCCTCAGAGAGGTCACTTGAGGTCCCTTGGGTGCGCCTCGTAGATATACCAGTTAGCAGGGGGGGTCTTAGCATTGTTCTTACTCTCAAGTGGTTGTCAGTCTCTTTTTTGTTCATTTCTCTTCCTCAAAATTAATGATGTCTGTATTTCATTCAGATGGCTGAACATGAGAGAGTGCTCACTGAAAAGAATGTCATAATGCATACCACACACACACATTCTCGTATGCACACATGCACATACACACACACACACACACACACACACACATGCACACACCCCTACCTATCTAACTCTGTGCTCCATAGTCATCCTGACAGAGAGAGAAAGATTTGTCTTCTGATTTCCCCTTGTATCAAAAATGAAAATGGAAGGACTCAGCAAGGACCCCATGTAGTTGCTCACACCATTGCAAGAGAGTTAGGAAATCCACAGGTCATTGTGCGCAGAGTACTGCTCCCTGGGTTGCTCTCCGTTACCAGAGTCCTTGCCACCACCCCTACTCACTCTTCATCACCAGTGGAAAGGGTCAGCAGCAGGGAAGGTTAAGGAAGAACCATCGCCTGCTCACTACAGATTTCCAGCCACTATCCTACAGAGGCTCCAGATGTGACCTCAGTTTATGAGAGATGCAAATGAGAGGAAGGAGCTGAGGTCCAGCCAGCCAGACCTCAACGTAGACCATTCCACAAGACAACTGGCCTGGACTTAACCAAAAAGTCAAAGGGCAGGTGGAAGATATGAGACCATTCTCTTTTAGATACGAAACAAATACAGCACTTTAGCCACCAAAACACACAGACACACACACACACACACACACACACACACACACACACACACACAAAGTTGAAAGACCCAAGGCTGAGAAGTGGTGATAAGCATGGGATGAAGTCCAGAGGCACTACAGGATGATAGGACAGTAGAGTCCGTGAGAAACGACCCTTATTCTTACGGCACACGAGTAGATTCTTCTATGGGGAAAGTGTCATGGTGTCTACAATGCATTTTCATGTTTCTGGTAAGCAGAAAAAGAGCTGGAAACAAGGAAGCAAATGTGTCTAAATGTATGTGATCCGTAGAGCCAGTGAAGGAGGAGAGCGGCCATTATACTGCTCCAGACTTTCCCTGTGTGTGAGATGGTGAGCTAGCTTGTCCATTACTGTGTATCCAGGCCTCAAGAGATCTCCGCTCATATCCTGAAAACCTTTTGCTTTTGTTGTACAGTGCGAGACCGGGTCAGGTCTAAGATGGAGAGAGACATCTTGGCAGAGGTGAATCACCCTTTCATCGTCAAGCTTCATTACGGTAAGTGCAGTAAGTGGGACGTGTCTTCCATCAGAGGAGACAGAAATAATAATTGGTCCAGAAGGAGATCCCCACTACATCAGAATCCTGTCTTGTATGGAGACAAAGTTCTCTTAAATCCCCAATCTTCAGTCTCTTTCCTGTTTGATTTTTCAAAAAGAGTAAGATGTGCTCTCTTCATCCCAGAGACTTTGTGTGAGGTGGGGCTGCCCATCATTGAGACGTCACCATGGTAACCTGGCACTGGGTCTCCTGACCTTGGGGTGAGACCTGATGATACACCCAGTGGCGCTGGGCAGAAAGCCTGTTGGTCTCTAACCTCTATCTTCAAAGTGAATGAAGAAAGGCAGGGTGAGCGCCATGAACCTCAGACTGCCCTCGACGGCTATCGCTTCTGTCTGGTGTACCTTTTAGAAAGAACAGAAGGTGGCTCCTCTGCTGGCTGAAGGGCCGGGGGAGCCCTCATCCTTCCAGGCATGGCAGCTCTGCTTGTTTAGAGCCTCATGCTCAGTGGTGCCTGTCTCTCTCCCTCTCCTGTCCTGTCCCAGCTGCTCCTGGGCTGTGGTCACAACAAAGCCTGGAGTCACTGTCTGAAGTGTTTCATTTTTTTAAAAGGTGACTAAGTCCTTTTATTTAAAAAAGAAAAAGAAAACAGAACAAACCATCAGAGCACTTCTCAGATTTGTGTGTCAGCCCTACGTTTGTGTGTCATCTCTACGTTTGTGTGTCAGCCCTATGTTTGTTTGTGTGTCATCCCTATGCAGGGGCCATGCTGATGGTGTTAGGATCATCTGTCTATTCCAGGGTGTGCGCTACCAAAGCAGGCACTGGGGCTGCTGTTTTTATGAGGAAGTTAAGAAGTGGGTGTCTTGCACAGACTTTCAAACAGATATTCTGTAATACGCATAGCCCCAACTGAAGGTCTTCTCGTTAGGGGCTGTATTTCTAAATGCCAGCATTTATAATAAATGGTCTGAGACCTTTTAGAAAATGAAAACTTTTTCAGTACACAGAAATAGCAGGACCCTCTGGCCTGGTACCTTGTATACTAAAGCTTGTACCCAATGAAGGATTATGTCGGCCTGACCATCGTGGTTGCTGACACTCTCTGACATTGACCTAGTTACCAATGCTGACAGACCCATTGGGCTAATTATCAGGTCAATAATAGTGTGACTCTTTTTTCCATGTCTTTATGTGCTCATGGGTCCCTCAGTCTGCAGTGTCCCCTTGTTAACCCCTGGGTCTGAGCTGTGTAGACTGTGTCCTGAGTCACTACCAGTACATGCACATGGAAAATGAGCTCCCTTCTGACACGTAGGCGAAGCAGTAAGAACACTGCTGGAGTGGAGAAAGTCCATAGTGATCCTCTCGTGCCCTGAGTATAGGATGCACTTCCACAGGAGGAAAGAAATGTACTTCCAGAACCATCTTCCATCAGCAAATGTCACAGCAGGTTGTCTGCTTGTAAGACCCGCTGTGACAAATGCCTAATTGAGAATGCCAATGATGAACATGAGTTTGTTCAGACTTTCCTCTCTCTGAGTCTTTCAGTCACTTTGTGATCAAAAAAGGTATAAGGGTGGAGAAGAAGGAAAGGGAAAAAGAAAGTTCCAAGACCCCAACAAAATGGCCGCTAACTTCTTTTGAGTCATGTGGCATACTCTTGAGGGCCGTGAGCAGCATCCCTCTCCTCCTTTTGGGCTCCGTCCCTGGCCAGCTGACCTCCTGCTGGTTGGCTATGCCTGTCTGAGTGAATGGCAGCTCTACAGATTAACAGCCTTGTCTGAACAGAACAGAAACTGGGCCTTGGGAAGAACAGAGAATCAACGGTCAGAGGGAGTAGTGTCTGTTCAACCCTATCTCCTCCCACAGCCTTTCAGACTGAAGGCAAGCTCTACCTGATCCTGGACTTCCTGCGGGGAGGTGACCTCTTCACCAGGCTCTCCAAAGAGGTGGGTGAGCTCCCTGCCCACCCCCTAGATGACTTTCTGTGTAGGAAGATAGGAAGGAAGGGCATTAAGGGAGCTGAGCATGTGAAGGTGTTATGTGTACGACGGGTAATGTGACAGTGTGGCGGTGTGTGATGTGAGGTATGTGACGTGTGACAGTTGGTATGAGTGGTGAGAAGTGTGTGGTATATGGTGCATTATGAAGGTGTGGTAAATGCAAGTTTTCAAAAGTTTGCACAGAACCAGCCATGGTCACACACACCCATAACCCCAGCACTCAGGAAACTGAGGCAGGGTTTTGAGTTCACGACCAGCCTGAACTACAGAGCAAGATCTGTATAGCCACATCAACAAACAGTCCATGCTTAGGTCTTACAAACAGACTCTTCCCAAGCCTCCTATGAATGATGCTCAAACAGTGTCCCCTGTCCATGCCCACTGCCCCAGATAGAACAGTAAAACTCATGGTAGCATTTGGGAGTGACTGCATTTGATGGTGTCTCACTTCCCATCCTTGGAAGGCACGTGCGGGCATCTGTTCTGGACAGTGGTCCCTCTGTGCTTGTGCTTACATTGAGGAACATCTTGTCAGGTCTCAGCTCACTGACTGAGCTTCGTTGGCTTCTAGCTGCAGAGTTAACTTTAAGCACCATCGCTTAAGTAAGAACCCTCCAGAGTAGCACTGGAAAGGTTCTGTATCACTCGTGACTTGAAGAGCCTTGAGCTAGCATTGTGGGATGGGGAAATTCAGAATTCTGTTTATGGCAAAAACATTCTTGTCTCCTTATTTGAATGATTCTATAAGGCTCAAGACAGAGGTGCTGATGGAAGGCTCCTCACCTCTTTCCAACAGAGTACTTTTTATTTGCCTGTGACAGTGGTTTCCAAATTGCCCCCTCCTTTCCTCTATCCTTCATAAAACTCCAGACAAATAGCTGATCAAGGTAGAGCACATGGCAGGGAGAGACACTTGGGAAATAGAATGGGGTTAGAAGGGTGCTGGGAGGCAGAGGGGGTCCACAGTCCAGGGCTAACTCCCAGGGGTACCAGCTGACACTTTGCAGGACCTAGGGGAGATGTCCTTACTGGGAGCTGAGAACCCTGTCTACTTGGCTGGTGACAGTCACCACACAGTCCCATAAATCACTCATTTTAGCTCTGGTCTCAAGCCACATTCAGTTCGCATGTAGGGATTTTGTGTGTCTACTTTCAAATTCAGTGGTCATATGGACTACAGTGTCTTCAACATGAATGTCTCATAGAAAATGTGAAAGTGGTTTTCGAGGGCCCTGGGGAGATGGCCCTGGGGAGATGGCCCTGTGAACGAAGTTATTTCCTGTGCAAGCATAAGGACCTGAGTTAGGATCTCTACCTCCTGTCTAAAGAGTCAGGCAGCCCACTCCTGTAAGCTCAGCACTGAGAGGGTTTGAGATCAGATCCAGACTATGGAATCATGACATCAGAGGGCCAGCCATCTTAGCCAAACTGGTGATCTCTGGGCTTGGTGAGATTCCCTGTCGCAAAAAATGAGGCAGAGAGTGGCCAAGGAAGACACCCGAGGCGAACCTCTGGCCTCTGTGTGCACATATGCAGATGCATCTGTGTGCATGCACATGCCTGTGTTCAAGATCGTGTAAGGATGTGCCTTTTTGTTGATATGACTACAGAAGTGCGGCCAGACAGGACAGAGCATTGTGAGCCAGTGTTTTCAAGGCCCCTCTCCAGCCAGCACATTGTACTTGGCAGAATGCATGCCTCTGGGCACAGGACTGTTCAAGGTGCCGGCTTGCACATCAGCCCAGGGGAACGGAAGAGGGAAGGGAGAAGAGTGAAATAGGATTCCTATTTCCTGTAGTCCTTCAGCCTCCACAGAGTAGTTATTTGAATTGCAATACCCATTATGACTTTACACCAGAGCATTCGTAATAAGACCGAAGTCTGGGGGTTGTGCTTGGCCTGAGCAGTTTTTAAGGTTAAGAGCAGGTTGGTGGTGGGCTGAGGTTCATAAGGCTGAGAAAATCAGCTCGACAACAGCGTGACCTGCAACTGTGAGAAGAACTCCCCTTCCCCAGGAGTGTCAGGAAAGTGTCAGGGGAGAGCCAGGATCTCCATACACGCATTCTGGGACCGTCCTGGTTTCCTTGAGGAGAGCTTTGCAACAAGCAGCCATGGGCCAGGCTGAGCCGAGGTCCTTTCCCACCCATTTAGGTGATGTTCACGGAGGAGGATGTCAAGTTCTACCTGGCTGAACTGGCCCTGGCGCTGGACCACCTCCACGGCCTGGGGATCATCTACCGGGATCTGAAGCCGGAGAAGTGAGTATGAAGCAAGGCGGTTCACAGCCTCCTCAGACATCTGCTGCCAGCCCACGACAGTGCCTGTTACCTAGGATTCACTTCCCAAGTACACTCCCAACAGTGGGCTGGGCACAGTGTCGTGTAGGTGGGTCCTGTGCTGATGCCACCTCCTTACCCTGCACTGGTGCCTAGTGGATGTGGGGCCTTCATCAACTATGGTAGAAGTGCCCACTAGACTGTACTCATGTTCCAATATACAAAGATGGCCAGGCAGGTGGGGCCTGAGACTAACTGCATGTACCCCTCCCCCTTCTCAGTCCAGCACTTTCTGCCACCAGGAGCCCTGCCACACAGGACACTTGTCCCCCTTGTTCGCCTCTCCCTAAGTGCCAGAGGCATGGTCACTCAGCCTCCTCTGAGATGGCTAACTAGGAGATAGGTTAGATTAGATCTCCGAGTGATCAGCTGAGGGACAGTGAGGGACATGACCGTGGGGGTCCCCAGGTCACTGTGTTTCCGGGGCTGAGAATCTATAATGTATTTATTTCTAGAGTTGTCTGTTAATCTAGTCTAAATGAAAACAGGAACTTCCCTGCAAAGTCACGGGATCCGTGGTCCTGATTTTCTTTGTGCACGGTCTATGAGTGGCAGAACTGACCTAGGAGCTAGCACTGAGGCGTAACAGACAAGAAAGGACTTAGTGGGTGGTGCTTTATGTTCTTCTGACCAACCATACAATGTCCCTGGTTGAATCATTCTATCCCTGAGGCCTCAGCCACAGTCTCTCTAAAGGAGGCATCCCACCAGGACAGCCCTAGGCCATACTATAGTCCAAGGGGTCACAGGTCAGGATGGATATCCCCTGTTCCTCCTTTGTCTCCCACCTGCACATTCTGAGATAAGGAGAGCTGCCTCCCTGAAGACATGGCTGTCATCTGGGTTTGCTGGAGCAAAGCAACCGTTTGTGTGTGCAGCATGTGGCTCTGATTAGCTCACAGTCAGCAGGTTATCACTGGTCGGTCCTATGACTCTATGGTCAATACATCCTGAAGACCCTGTCTTCAGGAGCCCACAGGGAGTGGGAACTTGTGACTTATATCTGACCCTGCCATGGGCAAGAGAGGATGTCAGAATGACACCTCAGAACAGGTTTGATATCATGTCTCTCAGTGCCTGTAGCATCCCTTCATCCATCCCTGATCAGGAGGTGAGAGCTGAGCCTGGCTTGTTCCCAGGGCTCATGCAAAGCTTATTGTAAGTTTACCTCACATTAATTAACATGGAGTTCATCTTCCTTATACAAATCAGTGCCCATAGCCGTGACCCCTGTGGAAGGCGTCTGTGTGCTCGGAGCCAGTCTTTCTCGGCATCAGGGCCCTGGCTGATGTTCATTTATGAAGGTTGAGACGGCTCTTGAAGCCAAAGAGTAACAATTAACTTACAGGATAAAGACAAAGGCTTTGTGGTCCAATTTGAATTATTTGGGAATGAGTCTTGAAAGTTGCTTAATTCTGGGTAAAGATTCAGAATGACTGAAAAGCAACAAGGAAAACATTTACCTCTTTCATTATAACCTGTCACCTTAGTTAATAGCAGCTTTCTAGGAAACACTGGCTATTCTTTAACCCTGTGGCAGACACACAGAGAATAACCTTTACTCCTTATATGTGGCTGAGGGTACAGCTGGGTGACCATAGCAAGTGTCATGTACCCTCAACCACTACCCATCACCAGAGTACCTTTCAGCCTGCAGAGCTGTAACAATTCCTGCTACCTCTGGCCAGCCTACTTCTCCCTTGCCCAATCCTGGGAAACACATAGAATGTGCTATGAAGTTCAAAGTCCATGTGAGTGGAAACCTAGGCTTGTGGCGAGCTTTCCCAGCCTTTAGGGTGTTGTTTCCTTCCTCTGTAGCCACATCCCCACTTCTTTGGGGCAGATAGTATCTCCTGGGATCTCATGGAACCGAATTCAATGACAGCATTAAAAACAGGTAGAAATATTGGAGCCTTGCATTTTAGAGTCTCACAGCCACTCAGCCTAGCGTGCAAGGGAAAGCAGCTGATGACAGGCCATCCCCCTTTCTCTCATAAGATGGGGCAGACTCTACAACTGTAGGGTAGCTAGGAAGAGCAAATCCAAAGGTCAGCTCATGATGTGAAGGCTCACTAGAACACTGGCCAGGAGTCCAGTGGCTATGGGTACTGTAAGACTGACCCTGGTTCTATCACGGGATGAAGCCTTGGGCAGCTCAGGAATCCCTTTGCTGAACTTCAGCTTTATATGGCCCAGACCAGAGGCCAGGATTGATCCCAAGTGCAGGGACAAGGCCTACAAGAGTCTGAGGTTCCTAGAAGAGGGTCTCTGGGCATCAAGGGTCTCCCAGGGTCAGGAAAGCTACTCCTCAGGTATCTATGAAAATCCAAGAACCCATACTTTTATATTTGGAAAGGGCCCACGGGTTCCAATCTGATGACTCAGAACATCTGTTTCTGTGTCCCCACAGGCTCAAGACTCATCCACTTGGTTTTTCTTCTCCAGGTTCATGACCAGGCCCTTAGTTCCCTTCCCCAGGGTTCATGACTGGGGCTTCTTGGTTCTCCTCTCTCAGGCTCATGACGTTTGGCTCCCTTCCTGAGCTGATCCAGGCTATGGGACATAGATTGCCATAGTAGAACCTATCAAGGATGCAGCCATGCCAGAAGCCCAGGCCATGGGCAAGGGCATCTCAGCTCCATGGGGCTTTTCCCTGAAGTCTATGTGCCTGGGGACTGTGGACTCTATCATTTTTCCCTCTCTGAAACCTGCTTTCTTACCCTTTTTTTCAGTATCCTTCTGGATGAAGAGGGACATATTAAGATCACAGGTTGGTAATAAACAAGCAAACAATAACAAACTGATAGTCTGATCCCTTCATCACTTGTGAGCCCTGGTAACCTTGTGGACCACCTCTTATCAGCCCCCTGTCTCATCTCTGACTTGGCTGATTTTTTTTTGGTACCTAAATGCTGGCCTTCTGAATGTGAGCACACTGCAGGGGGATCTCAGACTTCTGGAATCCTTCCTCTGATCTCTTACCCTGGACTCCCTCCTGGCTTTGCTGGCCTCTCCAATACGTGCTCAGAGCAAGGGGGCAGTCAGACTTCTGCACTGTCGCCTCTGTTCACCTAGAAGTCTCCTGCCAGGCCTTGCTCGCGTCGTTGGGTATTTGACTGGAAGCTGAGCGCGTGGCTTGTTCAGTGGCTGTAGCCTTGTCTCCCCAGGCACTAACGGTTCAGCTGCTCTTCTCGTTCATACCCAAACCTCGTAGCACTAATATAATGAACCCATCTGTGAACACTCCACCTTATCCCGATGCCTGTGTGTATGCAACCTTCCAGTGGCTTCCTCCACAAACAAATGATTTAACTCTACTGTCTTGGAACTGTGAAGTCTCAAGGCTAAACTCAAGATGTCCCTCTGGACCCCTAGTTCTTCAGCTCCCAGTAGAGGCCCTTCTTCTTCCGCAGGGCCAGCAGGTCAGCATCCTGCAGTCTAGTCAGACTCTCCTCTACATAGAGATCTGTAAAGTCATCCGGGCCATATGGTTAATAACCCTATCTAATTCTTGTAGCCTATACTGTACTGTATACTGAAGTCCCCTTCACGCTGTAAGGCAATCTGTTCACAGGTTCTGAACTATATTTGGGCACCATTATCCTGCCCTGCTCATTGGCCACATCCTGGCCTCATCTCCACATGCACTGCAACCCACTGAGTCCGCTCACAAGGGACCTGCTTTCTAAGCAGGTGCCAGCTATGCTTCCTTTCCCCTTTTCTGCAAAAGCTACACCTTATTTCTCTCCATCCGGGCCTCCTAACCTGCAATCACATGGGAAACGCTCTCTGGAAATTCATGTTCACTACTAAGAAGTAAAACCTCCTTGCTACTCGACAAGGCACACAGTGGTGGCGGTGGTGGCTGTGGTGGTGGTGGTGGTGGTGGTGGTGATATTCAAGGCTCTATCACGAATTGCACTCTGTAGGTCTTAGCCTCAGGAACTCGCCAGGCTCTGGAGTCACATTAAGCCTGTATAATGTACATGAGGCCCATAGTCTCTGAGAGAAGTGTTGTGCATGGGAGTCAGAGGGGGGTCTGTCTTCACACAGGGACTGTGGCTCGGATACTCAGGCCATGCTGTGTTCTGTGCTTATGTTTAGATTTTGGCTTGAGCAAGGAGGCCATCGACCATGACAAGAGAGCCTACTCATTTTGTGGGACTATTGAATACATGGCGCCTGAGGTGGTGAACCGGCGTGGACACACACAGAGTGCCGACTGGTGGTCCTTTGGTGTGCTCATGGTAAGGGATTGTCCCTGGCTTCCTCTGTAAGGATGGATGTTACCCCTCTGAATTCCTCATCTTAGCTTGATCCAGGGATGCTGGAAACTAGAGAGGAAACAGGGCTTGAAAGACCTGGTCTGGCCCTGTTTCTTACCTGAGCAGGAGGAAGCAGTGAATTTGAGAGAAATCCCTGCGTCTGTCCTGGCTCTTACTTCAGGAAACGGAAGTGGGCTCAAGTGAAAACACAAGTATATTAAAGACTAAGCCTTCTTCACACTCAGCTCCACAGATTGAAGAAGAATGTGAGGAGAGGTGGTGGCCTCTCTTATTTCAGAAGAAATCCTTTTGCTTAGTTGTAAAATTCGGCATGCGCCAAAGTGTTCATGGAGCTAAGCAGTTTTATATTTCCAATCTGGGCATGCTCCTTCCTTCCTCTTCTTCCCACCCCAGCAGGAGCATTCTCACCAACTCCTCACACTTCGATGTGGGCCAGATTCTGTTGCTCTAGTCTGACACCAGTGATAGGCATGGTCAGCATTGCCCAACACCCTTTTAGTTTGATCATTTAAACAGTAGAAGAAGCTGAGACTGTGAGACCCTCAGTTGATTTGATAAGAAACTTGGTCCTGTTCATCCAAATATGCTCTTTCACTGACATAGCCACCTGTTTGTCCCCATCATGTGGGCCCCCCAACCCTGGCTCAGACTTGCCCCTAGTTACGTCTTGAAGGCTTAATGACCTGCAGCCATCAATACTTGAGTCCTTAGCTAGCCTCAAGGCTGAGAAAGTCTGGCTGTGTCTACATAAGCTGCTAACTTCTGGGGTACTTCCAGTCAGCCAGTTGGGAAGAGGGTTTAACTCACAGTAAGAGATGTTCTACCAGAGAACTCCTACAGCTGATAAATACCTCCAGCAAAGTGGCTGGATATAAAATTACTAAAAAAAAAAAATCAATGATAAACAGACAAGTGATAAATGGGCTGAGAAAGAAATTAGGGAGACAACACACTTCACAATAGCCACAAATTATATAAAGTATCTTGGTATAAGTCTAATCAAGCAAGTTAAAAACCTGTATGACAAGAACTTCAAGTCTGTGAAGAAAGAGATTGAAGAATATATCAGAAGATGGAGAGATCTCTCATGGTCATGGATGGTTAGGATTAACCCAGTGAAAATGGCCAAAAGCAATCTACAGATTCAATGTAGTTATCATCAAAATTCCAACACAATTCTTTGCAGACCTTGAAAGAGCAATTCTCAACGTTATATGGAAAACCAAAAAACCCAGGGTAGCTAAAATAATCTTGTACAATGAAAGAACTTCTGGAGATACCAAGCTGTACTACAGAGCAATAGTAATAAAACTTACATGTCATTGGCATAAAACTGTTAGGTTGATCAATGGAATCAAATCGAAGACCCAGAAATAACCTCACACACTACAGAGAAGAATCCAAAATAATACAATGAAAAAAAAAGCATTTTCAATAAATGCTGCTGGTCTAAATGGCTATCTGCATATAGGAGAGTACAAATAGATTCATATCTACTAGCCTGTATAAAACCCAAGGCTAAGTGGATCAAAGACCTCAACATAAAACACTGAAACCAGTAGATGAGAAAATGAGAAACTGCCTTGAACACATTGGCATAGGAGACACATTACTGAACAGAACACCAGTAGCTCAAGCACTAAGATCAACAATTGATAAATGGGACCTCATAAAACTGCAAAGCAAAAGACACCATCAATAGGACAAAATGACAGCCTACAGAATGGGAAGAGATGTTCATCAACCCTACATCCAACAGAGGACTAATATCATACACACACACACACACACACACACACACACACACACACACACACACACAGAGTCATACTCACACTCAAGAAATTAGACAACAACAAACCAAATAACCCAATGTAAAAAATGAGGTACAGAGCTAAACAGAATTCTCAACAAAGGATTCTGTAATGGCCAGGAAGCACTTAAAGAAGTGTTCAGCATTCTTAGTCACCGGGGAAATGCAAATCAAAACAACCCTGAGGTTCCTTCTTACAACTGTCAGAATGGTTAAGATGAAAAAACTCAAGGGACAGCTCATGCTGGAGAGTTTGTGAAGCAAGGGGAGTACTCCTCCACTGCTGTTGGGAACGCAAACTTGTGCAACCATGCTGAAAATCAATTTTGTGGTTTCTACCTCAAGACCCAGCTGTACCACTCCTGGGCATGTCCCACCACACCACAAGGACACGTACTCAACTATGTTCATAGTGGTTTTTTCCTAATAACCAGAAACTGGAAACAGCCTAGATGCCCCTCAACTGAAGAATGGATAAAGAAAATGTGGTACATCTGCACAATGGAATAATACTCAGCTATTAAAAACAAGGACACCATGATATCTGCAGGCAAATGGATGGAACTAGAAAATATCCCGAGTGAGGTAACCAAGACCCAGAAAGACATGCATGATATGCACTCACTGATAAGTGGATATTAGCTTTAAACCTGTTATTTTTAAGAATGTTGATCCACAAGGTAAATTCGGATGTGGACTCCCATGTGAAGATTCCTCTTCCTGAGTCTTCTCATGCTGCTACCAGAAGGCTGTAGGAGGGGATGCTCACAGCTAATCTCAAGCTGACCCTGGATCCCTCAGAGCTCCCTTGAGTAGGGCTTCACCTAAGCTCTGCTGAGAATTGGGGCTGGAAAACTCTGTTGCCAGCATCCTGTGCATATCAAGGCAGCCGCCAGCATCCCTGACCGCTCTCAGACTATATGTAGGTAGCATCAGTGCCTAAAGCCATGAAAATGAAAACTGCTAACTTTGCAACTACTCTCTGGGCTCTGAGACTGCTGTTGGAGGTCTGGCTTCTCATCCTGGGAGCATCGCAGCTGCTCACACGAAGCTGGTCAGTATCTCAGAGTCGCTGGGAGTTGTACAAGCGCCCTGTATTGGTCTCTACTTCATGGAGCCAACCATAAAGAAATGGACCACTTGTAAAGAGGGAAAGGGGAGATACAAGCAGAGAACACGGACTCCGCTTGTTGCAGCCACTGTCAAAAGCCAGAAAGAAACCGCTCAAGAAATGTTGCCACACATTGTCCTGAGGCACCAGTCGGCACTGTGGCACCCAGACGGCACCCAGACGTGGAAATGGACTCCATTTCTGCAGGCGGGATTTAATGGCCAGAGGTGGGAAGTATCATTCCCATTCTACACAGTCGCATGCTCTTTCTTGGAAATGGGGTTTCACGAGTGCTATGAATAGACTCCCGAGGAGGAAGAACCAAGCAGCGAGAGTCCCCCTCCGTGACAGCCTATTTTGAGACGGTAATGTCTATAATCAGCTTATGAATGCTCACCCTATTTATCAGCTGGCTTGCTCATCTTCTAGTCATTTTAATTATGTCTGCCTATTTTTAAAATCTCATCTGGACTGTGTTGCTCTTGGTTTCATTACTTATACATTTGTTTACCGCCTGCAGCCTGGCACCGTGTGCACTTGGGTTTAATCGGCACACAAGACGGGCAGCACGCTCAACCTGAGAGGGCGAACAGCAGATACCAGAACTGGCAGGGGCTTGTTCGCTATTAAAAGAAGACAGATAGTATTAGTTAACTACACCCGTCTCACCCCCATTCCCCTGTCCGTCTTCCGCTGACACCCTCCTTTCTAACAGTCTCCCTCCCAGTCTCATGACATGTTGATGTGGGAGGTGGAATGACTAATTCATTATGTAGATGTATGAAGCTGTCAAACAATAATGAAAAGAGATTAAAAACTTGTAATCTCCTCATTTCTCCAAGTTTGTAACTTCTCTAGCCCGTCAGTGGTGGTTGGTCCTCACTGCCAGCTCGACTGGATTTGGAATCACCTAGGAGACTCAGGTCTGGGTGTGTTTGTGAGGGTGTTTGCAGAGAGGCTTGCCTGAGGAGGAGCGACCCTCCATAAATATGGACACACTGTCCATGGAAGAATCCAGCCAGGCACCCTCATTTATCTCTTCCTGCTTCCTGACCGTGGTTACAATGTGAGCAGCATGCCATGCTCCTGCCTCATACCTTCCCTGCCTGGGAACTCACCTTTCCTTCAGTCGCTTTTGTCAAGTTGCTTTTCACAGCAGTGAGAGGTTAACGTCACCTCATTTCTGAAGTCTAGGAAACTTTTAGTTTCATTTCAATCTAATGCAGGGGTTCTCAACCTTCCTAATGCTGCGACCCTTTGATTCTGTTCCTCATGTTGTGGTGAGCCCCACTAGAAAATTATCGTTGCTACTTCATAACTAATTTTGCGACTTTTATGAGTCATGATGGAAATATCCGACACGCAGGCTATCTGATATACAACCCCTTTGAGAGGGTCATTTGCCCACAAAGGGGTCGAGACCCACAGGTTGAGAACCACTGGTCTAGCATACACTTAGTAGGATCCTAATTAGAAACATCTTAAGTGTCCAACTGTCGATACCTTGTTGTATATTGGCTCATTCACATGTAACATGACGGGACAGAAGTTTTATAGTAAGTGTGAAAAGTTTCATACGGTAGGAGGTCAGTGTAGTGTGTCTTCGAATCATGGCCTTGAGGTGATTATTTTGGTCGTTACACTTGATCTCTACAATGCAAAGACACTGGACAATAAGTTGTTAAGGGGTAGAGCCAGGCAGGCGCAGTGACAATACCAAGACATACAGGCTTAGTGTGACCAAAGTCCTCCAGTCAGGATGTTGCCTCCTCCTTTAGACTGGAGTGAAAGGTGTCCACAGTGGTACTGAGCTTTCCAGTCTCACATGTATGGAAGGGGCTTGCTGTTGCTGCCTTCCTCTCTCACACAGCAGTACTCCCAGGGAGGTGGGGGGTGGGGGCGGTGCTGGGTTATGGTGACCGTAGGATCCCAGCCCATAGCCTCTGGAGCCCACAGAATCAGCACTGTTTGTGTAAGAAGCCCATGATCAGTAAGGGCTGCCCTTGGGCCTCACCTTATCTCGGCTCCCTTCCGGGCCAGTGTTGTTTTAGTGTGTGGCAGTCTGTGGAGAGACTGCCGGTGCCGTGTTGTCTCCATCAGATGTTGTTAATGGGCTGTAACCAGGAGCCCTTCCGTCACAGAGGAAGATATAGACCGTGCAGGAGTCACTGTGGGGGGCCTCATGTTCCCCCTCCATCTCCCGGCTTTCCTCCTGCACTTCTTCTGACCCCTCTCCTGCTTCAGCTCTCCACAGCACCCACGTGGGAAAGGTGATCCCTAAACCACATGGGCTACAGTCATCTACTGTGTTCATCCTTCATGAGTCTCCCCAGCTAGAATGGGAACCTGGGGGCCACGGTCCCCAGCGCCTCACCATGTGGCACTGATTGATGGGATTAGAGATGAGGGAACAAACTCACCTGCTCTGTTTTGCTCTGCAGTTCGAGATGCTCACAGGGTCCCTGCCATTCCAGGGGAAGGACAGGAAGGAAACAATGGCCCTCATCCTCAAGTGAGTGTGGGTAACTACTCCAAGGCACACCGCTCCACACAGGAGCAGAGCTCTGGCCTTTTGTGTTTGTAGCTGAGGAGGAAATGGACTACAGGGGTTTAGTAGGAGCTGTGGGATTGGGGTAGAGCCGTCTGCTCTAAGTCATAATCACCATGGACGCGATGCATGCCAGCCGCATGTGGGATCCCTGATGCCCTGGAAGATCCACTAGGACATTATTGAACTTGTGAGACATCAAACAGTGCAAGGCTAGCCTTTGTAAATCCCTCCCTTACACATGGGATAAAGGCGTATGGAGGGTTCTCTACCTCAAGGACATATCACAAGGGCTTTCGTTGTTCAGAATCCCCCTATAGCTTTTCCAGATCTGTGTGCACCTGATCAGTGATTACTAGGGAGCTCCCACAGCTGCGCCCCATGTTCTTGTGGGAACACCTCTGTTCCCTGGCTTTTAATGGGAACTTGATTTACTTTTTACTAAAACTGGGGCAGTCTCTCCAGCAATCCCACATGGGCCCATGCCTGTCCAAGCTGACGGGTCGGCACACACTCAGTACCTGGTCCTCAATAAGGTCCATGGACCCCAGGGTCCAACCTGGCCCCTGGGATGTTCCTTGCTCAGTCATCCTCCATAATTCTACAGCAGCCCAACCCATGGACGACAAGAGCACCACTGCTCCCAGGGCGCCTGGAAGGAACTCACCAAATGTAGACCTAACTAATAGTCTCTCTTGCTTAAAGAAACTTTACACTATAAAATAAAATTGTTTTGAAAAATAATTTCCACTGAAGATGTTGGTGAAGTGCTGGTGCGCCTCAGGACTCACTATTGCTGTTTTGATCATGCAGTGTGTGTGCACTGGGTTATTTAGTAGCCGTTGCGAAAAGTTCCCACTTTTTGTTTTGATTAAGGCCAGCAGCAGCCAGCTGCAAAATGCCCATGAAACTCTTTGGTGTCTTCATACAGTTCCAGGGCATAGTGGAGTCCTTAGACCAGAGTGCTGCCACCATTGCTCGGAGTGTTTGGGGTCTGTCCCTTTGCAAGCAGAGAGGCCTTGTAGAAGTGGAGAGCACAGTTGTCTTTGCTCTCTGCCATCTAACCTGCATTCCTTCTGCCTTCCAGAGCCAAGCTGGGTATGCCTCAGTTCCTCAGCGCGGAGGCACAGAGCCTGCTCAGGGCCCTTTTCAAGCGGAACCCCTGCAACCGACTAGGTAAGGGTCCATGACACACATACACACACACACACACGTACACACACACACAGGAATGCAATGAGGCTGTCTTCTAGACCCCCTTAGGAATGTGTGAGGTCACCATTCTGTCCCCCATGGGAACATGAACGACTTCCTCCTTGTGCCCCATCTCTGAATTGTGTGCTTTTCCTTGCTTAGGTCACAGGAAGCAGAGGTGCCCCGATGCTGGGGAAACACTCACATGTGTTCTGGCCTCCACAGACACGTAGTCTTATCAGGATTGCTGAAAAGCATTGGACTCTCAAAGTATAGCAATTTGTTCTTCAAAAAAATCTCTCCTTTTGCAGAAAACCACTATATTCTCTTCTGGTTTTATGTCTCTTTAAGAACGCCGTAAACTACAGACAGAATGGCTGAAAGGTCACTTCTAAGTTATAGCGTCTTAAGAAGCCAGCACGTACAGAGCCCGATTTACTTTAGCATTAACTAAGCACCGCCTCCCTCTTCCAACCATACAGAGTTTACTGCTTGGCCTGGAAAGGCCTTGGGGATAGGCTGAGACACAGGAATAGGGTGAGGGTCCTTGGCAATGTGAGCTGCCGGATGGTTTATCCCACAGATTGGCAGAAGGAACACGGACCATTGGCTCCAGTCTCACAGATAGGAACAAGTCATTAGACGTGAGTTAGGAAATATATCATTCTCGAAGAAGTAATTAGATTTTTCTTTCTGCCTGGCTCAGCCCCAAAGGAAGCTCGGGCTTCATTTAATTTCTTTCACGTATCAGCTTTAATTCAGGGAACTTCTGCAGTAATTTACAATCCTTCAGTTAATAGGAAAATAAAGCTACTATTAAAAGCACTGTCCTACTTCCTAGGATCATCCTCTTGGCGTGTGAGGGGATTTCATACAGTGGATGCAAACTATTGTTGCTGCTCCGACAGCTGAATGGATTCATACTCAACTTCTGATCCAGGTTTCACATCATGCACAGCTCTTTCCTCCTGACGTTGCTTTAGAAGATAGTTCTAGTTAAGGTACCGACAGGACAAGGTTAAAAAGTTCTCTTCATGAGCTCCTCAGAGACACATCAACTGTAGTCACCCTGGTCCAGATGCTCCTGGCATCTCCCGACTCCTCACACATGATCATCAGACCCAGACACACACAGGGTCTCAGGGGAGCATCCCCACTGAGAATGGCTGCTTCACAAACTGACATGGTGATATCTAGAGTAGAATACACAGAAGACACTGCAAGGGTGCTTGTCCTATGTGGAGCCTGTGATTGCCTCTGTGGCCAAGCTAGCAGGGCAGTGGTGAGCTCTCGGGGCAGTGGTGAGCTCTCAGGGCAGTGGTGAGTTCTCGGGGCAGTGGTGAGCTCTCGGGGCAGTGGTGAACTTGCAGGTCCTTGGTGAGCCAGGCTGTGTGTCAACCTCAGGTTCATTGGGCTGTCCCAGTGGGGTCTTTACAGTTGGGCCCTAGAGCAGGGACTGTTCACAACTGGCCAAAGCAGTCTCCCTAGCAGGAGCTCACCAAGATGACCAACATGAAAGTCCCAGGGAACAGCTCTGGTCCCTAGGATACCAGTGGCGAGATAAGGTGGCAAGCTCCAGGATGGGAGTTTGAGGAGCCATGGTGGGCGCCTTGGTGTGGATGTGCATGCATACAGCGTTGTTTGTGTTGGGCTCATGATTTGGACAAAACCGGTGGACCAGATTGTTCTGTGCTGTTGTTCTTGGATCACTTATCCAAGTCTCAGATAGTACCTGAGACATCAACCAAGAGTCACTGATTTCTCTTGGGATCGGGTGGGTTATGATCATTTGTACTGGGTAGACTAGACTTACCCAATGTATGTGGCCTGAGGCCCCTACAGGTCTCTGAACTCCCAGGTTTGCCTTGCTTTATTCCCTCCTCCATTCCTGACAGGGAATGCACAGTCAGGGTCTATGACCCATGGTCACTCAGGTCTGTGAAAACAAGACCCCACACCCTTAGGGGTGGGGCATGGAGGGTAGGGTATTCATTTTCAGCCAGGGAGCATAGTGCCGTCCTAGTACCTGAGTGACCATTGGTCCCAGAGCTGCCCTCTGATTGCACTTTCTCCAGGGCAACTGCAGCTGCCCCAGGACAGCCTGCAGCCCCTCTTTGGTGAGTACTTGTTAAGCTTTATAAACGCAGGGCACTTGCTCTCAGAACAGATACAGTCTTTGAGATGCCGAAGATCGCACCCAGGATCCTCATGCTAAGCCTATTAGCATATATCTTTAGTTCGTGCTAAGCAAGCCCTTTACCACAGAAATACACTGCCAGCCCTTTTATTCCTTTTGACACAGGTCTTACTAAATTTCCCAGGATGTCCTTAAACTCACTCTGCTAGACCTTGAATTTGAGATCATTCTGCCTCTGTCTCCAGAAGAGCTGGATCAGAGCGAACTGGAATACTCTTGCTCCTCAGAACACACTACTTTCTGAATGCCTTTGCAGTTCTCAGATTCTCCAAAATGCAAGCGACTGCCGTTCACGTCATTAACATTTGCCTCTGAATTCTAGAACCGTGTCTGGATGCCTAGCCTGATTTCATCTATCTTCTAAATGTCTGATCCCAGCTAGTTCTTTCTGATGAGCCTGGGGCATACCTGGTGCCTGTTCCTGAGTGGCTGACACTATCCAGTGTAAGCCATGTTCAGTGGACCTTGAGGTGGTTAGGGGATGATGACAGCTGCTGCTTAGTGACCAGGTGAACAAGTCACAGCACTTGACTGAACGCTGTATAGTCAGTCACCCTTAGACAAGGCCTCACAGTGGTGCTATAAAGTAGGTCAAAGGAGAACTCTTTAACTCATTTACAAACAGGGAGGCATCTAGGTGAGTGGTGGTGGTGCAGACCTTTCATCCCAGCACTTGGGAGGCAGCAGCAGGCAAATTTCTGTGAGTTCAAAGCCAGCCTGATTTACAGAATGAATTTCAAAACAGCCAGGGCTACACAGAGAAATCCTGTCTTGAAAACAACAACAGCAACAACAACAAACCCAACCAAAACAAAAACAAAGCCAGGGAAGCATACATGATAACTGCTTTTGGCTGCAAAGAACATATGCTTGCCTCTCATAGCAAGCCGTATGCTGATGTGGATTTAGCAGGCATTGTCCAGCAGCTAGACTGTGGTTTTCGAAATCCGGACCCTTGTTCTGTTTTAGTGATCCTCTGTCACTTGCCTTTTAATTCTCCTGCTTGGCTGCCTGTGATCACAGAGTGGCTGCAATAGCTGTGGCCATGCCAACCAGATTGAAGGGAGGGAGAGGAGGCAGCAGACAGTGCCTGGTTTGCTTTGGTCAGGAACGATTTTCTGAAAGTCCCCTACAAGCTTACTTCACTTCAGGCTGACAGAGCTTGGTCCCCTGGCACTTCCAAGCAGAAGGACTGCAGGGAAGCAGGGGTGTGGTTGAAGTAACACAAGGAAGATTGGAATCAAGCTTCGTTAGCAGCCACCAGCGTCAGCCAGAGGGTCCAGCAAGGCTGATGTGCTGTGTGCTCACCTGGACCTGAGCTGCTGGATTACCAAAGCCCTGGAACATTTGCTGATTCCGACTGAGTGGGAAAGAGGTGTTGTTAGACACTCCGAGGTGTGGAGCCAATGGCTGGCCGTTTAAAACCCATCTGAGTCCCTATCCTGACGCTCTCCGTTTTCCTCATCAAGGGGTAAAGCAGAGGAGATACTGATAGCAAATGTTCATCTGTTCCCACTGGGCTGCACACTGCCTGCTCCCAGGCTAGGGAGAGGTTGGGGGGCCATCTATTCTAGAATGTGCTTCTCCTGAGTACTCACTGGGGCTCTTGGTTGCTAAGTGTTTCCCCACCGGGGAATTTCAAACACAAGTAACCGCATTGGTTCAGCCTTCTTCCCTGAGGGTTCCTCTCTGAGCTCCCTGCCCTGTGGTGTGGTGGTGCCTATCATCTAGGAAGAGCCCTCGATTGCATCCCTTCTTCTCAGGTGTGGGGATGCCTCAGATGTGGGGATGCCTCATCCGTGGTTCTTTCCTGGGCACAAGGTTCGCTCTTACCATTAGCAGCTGAAAAAGACCCTGCCTGTCTCCTTTGTCAATCCCTGCCCTTCTCTGCTTCCAGGAAGAGTGAGCACCCCTCCATCTGTCCACTCCGACGTGTATCAGGGTCTCCCATAGAGGTGAGGAGTTTCTCATTAGTGGGGCCACAGAAGGTGGGAAACAAATGCACAGATGAGCCTCTGTGCCTTCCCTAACTGAGTATTGGACTTCACCTGGCCGTGTCTACCTAGGTGGCTGTGGATGGTCATGTACAACTTAATTCACGCCAAGGTTGTCTCTTTTCTCTCTCCCTGTGGAGAAGCTCCAGATCTTGAACAAGTGTCCTGGGACCCACTCCCAGATGAGTGGTCAGAATCTCTGTGTCCTGCCCCTGCCGGGGAAGGTAGGCAAGAGTGGTCACAGCCATTTGGCTCTCTGTTGCCTTTGGAAGAAAAGGATCCTGGCTTCTCTGCACTCCGTGGAAAGCAGAGATACTACTGTCTCACTTGCTCCAGAGGAAGATCCAACATGCTGCATAGTTCCTTACAGCTTTCCTGGCACAGGACAGGATCCAGAAGGGTCCCATTTGAGCCCCTTATTCATATGCTGGCCTCGAAGCTCTCCCCAGATCTGACAGATGGTCCTCATTAATGGAAGTTGTGGGGTGGCATACAGAAGACACAGCTCCGAGGTGCATACACATGCCCTGCTGCCAGGGTACAGGGGAGAGGGAGCAACTGCCTTGCCATGACCCCTGCCTGGTCTGTGCTTACTTGCTGTGTAACTTCAAGCCTGTAGTGCAAGCACAGAGAGTTTGAGCAAGGCGCTAGATGTGTCATGAACGCAGGAGGCATAGCAGCGCCTGGCACGTAGGAAACAACACTGTCCTGTGTCAAATAGATTGAGTGTGACTAGTGTGCCTGGGGCCAGGGAGGTGCTGCGGCTTGCAGGGATGCCTGAGAGCAGCCATCTCTCTGTGTTGCCCTTCCGCATCCTGAGCCGTCCCAGGCCTGAGCCATCTCCACCTCACAGCCTTTTCCTTTGCTGACTGAGTCGTTCTATACCACACACTTCTTTTCCCACATGGAAGCCTCCATCTGCCAACTACAGCCGTCCTCAAGTGTTGGGTATGAGTACTGAGAACCTTCTGTAGTGCTGGGCATACCAAGGCCCTGAATCCCCAGATAGCTCTGTCAGGTCCTCTGGTCACAGAGGTCCTGTGGAGCAGAGGACACAGCAGCCTTGGGGGGAAAGTTCCTCATACCTGTCTGGGTGAACTGGTCTGGGCTGAGGATCAAGGACATGCCCATGGCAGAAGTTACAGGAGATTACCGTCCTGGCATCTGTAGCTGAGAACAGTTTCCAAATCCTGTCAGCTCAAAGAGGATTCTAAAATGTGAGAAATTGAGTCAGGGGTTTGGGCTAGCCCCCTGACCCCTGATGCTAAAGAAGAGGGCATAGGAGTCACCCTGTAGAATTCTATGTGGGTATGTCAGAATCAGGAAGATCTGCAGGAAGATGCCAGTCTGAAGCTCAGAGTCGTAGCTGCTTGGTCTGCTGGGTGCATCCACCACACCTCAGACTTAAGTACCTCTCCTTGTGGGAGCTTGTCCAGTGTTCATTTCTACATGGAGCTCTGTAGAAATGACCATGACCTCAGCACCTGCATGGATTGGTTTTCAGCCCCCCCCCACCTCTTTTTTTTCCTGCTCTGGCTTTTGCCACAGAACCAGATGAGTGACAAGGAGCATCAGTTCTGTTAACCTGCATCCCGATCTTTCCAGAGCTAGCAGCTTCCCAATCATCCTGACGAGCAGCTTCAGGCTTTCCCAGAGGTTCCGGGAGTCCTCACATGGGCGCATGCAGCGAGGTCAGCAAGGTGCTAGATGTGTCATGAACGCAGGAGCTCGGCAGGCAGTGCCATCCTCACACTGATGGGGTGAACATGGTCTAGAGCAGCCACTGAGCCCTGCTCAAATGCACCCAAGGGTTCTGTGTCTCCATTCTGTTTCCTGTTCAAAGGGATCTGGACAGATGGCAGACATTGTTCCTCTCCGAGGCCTCATCCCAGTTTCTACAGGAAGTGCTGCCAGCCTCTGTGTCCTCAGGTGTCATGCGTGAACCATTTATGGCATCCTCAAACCTCACAAACAATCTAAGCTTTTATTTGGATTTAGCCCAGAACCATCCCTAGGAATTCCGTAAGAACTCAAGTAGACCTAGGGCTATCTAATGATAGGATGCATGCACACTCACACACACACACACACACACACACACACACACAGAGCCTAGCAGTTCAGCATGACACAATTATCGGGCAAAGGTTGTTAACATGGGTGAGATTTAAATGGACAGAAAACACTTTAAAACTAAAGAAACGATGTGCTAACAGAATATTAGTGGCTAAGAAATACAGAAGAGAGCTCATGTTTCTGTCAGTCCTGGACAGTTCTCTAGGTGGTTACACCTGGGATACAGATGATTTGCCAGTCAGGACAGGTGAGGGAGGCAGGCCACCAGCAGAGTGAATTCCGCATGTTACCTAGGGTATTCCACGCACAGGAGTATTCCATGCAATTCTGAAAGGACAAGTGAGTACAAACATGGAAGATCTATGAATTACCCATTTTCAAAAGTAAAATTAAAGCCAGCGAAAATCTTTTTAGCATATCAGAACCTCTTGTGAATAGTTTGCTGGATTTGGATGTCCCGATGAAATGGGTGTATCAGAGGAAGGAGTTCAAGTGCAAAGAAGACCTGGCTAGATGTGTCAGACAGAAGGATTCCTTTTCCAGGATAGCATGGATCTTGATTAGCCTCACGCCTTTATCAAGTATAGAAATGCGGCTCTAGAGAAGCACGAGCTTCAAGCCATCGCCATGTGAAAAGTACCCACCATGATTAGAGCGTGTGTGACGAGGGGCGATGGGCAGAGCTGAAGTCTGGGTCCCGCAGTCCTCTGTCTCTGCCTGTGAAACCTGCTGCAGAAGAACGGAGCCTGAAGAGAGATACATGGTCCTCCATTCTGCCTGTCTCTCTCTGACTCCAGGGTCCTGTCAGTGCCTGTGACAAGAGATGATTTGCAGACTTCCTTCTGGAACGGGGGAGGCTTGAGTAATGTTTGGTCAAGATACTGTAACATAGCACCTCTGGCTCCCACCTCAGCACAAACACATTCCCAGCCTCCTCTCCCGGAACTCCGCTCCCTGCTGTTTGTCAAGTGCGTTCAGTCTAGATAAAGGCAGAGCCAAATCCACTACTATCTATTGTAAAATATGCCAGGAGAGGATAAGACTAGTGTGAAGAATAATGACCAAGTTTGTTCTCTAAAGGTCATCAAAACTTTAAGGACCTGGCTACAGATTCCTTCCTTCAATGCCTAGAATTTCTGAGGGACAATCAAAACATCAGCCTTTTTTGCTGAGACTACAAAACTGAAACTTAGTGTCAGATTCTAGGGGAGAGTAACTAGATTGGTAAGCACCCAACCCCAGCTTCTCTGTCGTGTCTCCCTTATTCTTGCAGGCTGCACTGCAGGCCATGCGTATACAGAGGTTCTTCGAGCAGAGACAAGGCATGCTCACTGAAGAGTGTACATGCTGAGCCTTGGAAAATGGGTGACATTCATTGGGGACACAGGAGGGATGTGTGCTGTGCATGTCCCCAAAGTAACATTTGACATATCACTGGGTAGACACAGGACACCTGAGTTCTTCCCCTGGTTTTCTTTCTTGCGTGTTTTCCTATCAAATGGTGACAGTGGCCAAACACAGACTGAGACTGGTGTGTGAATAAAAGCTGGTGTGATTGGCCACATCAGAGCTTTCTAAGCAAAGGCCTGGACAAGCTACCTGAGAGGTGAGAGATAGTCCATGTCACTGCTGTGGGCTAAGCAGAGGACCAGAAAGGTCAGAGCATGTGCCATGCGGTACTTATGGCTCTACCCCCCAAGACTCCAGCTAGGACAGATCACCACAGCATCTCAAGATAGCCTTGTGCTGACCTTCACGGTGCCTGAGCAGAATTGTCTGACAAAGAAGGAACTTCCCCCATCACACCCCCAGGGCTCCAGGAACTGGGTGTGGGCTCAAGGACCATCTGATTTTGATCAGAACCATTAGGCCTTAGAGGTTGGTTCGCAGCATTGGGGGAGGGGACATTCATTTCCCACCCTTGGGACAGGAACTGACAAGACTCCTGTGATTCAGTTCCCAGCTGGCTGAGACTAACTATGTCCCTAACCCACAGCCTCAGAGCCTGAGCTCCTTGCCTGCCTCAGCTCCTAGACTTTGCTTTTAATTAACAGACTTTATTCGAAGCAATTTCAAGTTTAAAAGAGTGGACAGCGAGTCCCCCCCCCCCCACACACACACACCGTCCCTCGCAGGTTCACATTAGATGCAGGTGCTTAACACACGCCTGGTTTCCCCTGGAACTCCATTCACTCCAGGCTGGCTCTGGCACCGAGGGACATGCAGAACGATCTCACAGACACACACAACCATCTCCTACCAACCCATGCTCCCATGCAGTACACAAAAGTAAGGGGAGAGGTTAGGTAGGCACAGTGGGTGGACAAATCAGAGAACCACAAACTGTCTCCAGGTGACAGTGATCGGTGTGCGAGGATTAGGTGTGGTAGACAGGACCCCAGGCCAGGCTCTATGTCCCAGGTTCTGTCCAATCTCCTTGTCCTTTCTTGGAATTCTTCCTCCCCCTGGTAACTGCTACAACAGCCTGGCCAGGTGCTCTACAATGCACTTTCTGGCCCCGATGTGCCTTGTCACGTCCCAGGAACCTGGCCTGATGCTGTGTTCTGGGTGTTGTAAACATGGCCTGTGACCATGACAGCCACCGGCTCCTCCTCTCTTGGCTATGCTGGCATCCTATACCTGGAGCAGGAAGTCTGGACCTGATACCTACCTTTCCTTTACTACTTCTGTTTCAGACTGTGTCTGCGTCATAAGCCTCGGAGTCAAATGGGGGCTTCCCGGGCTCTAAGGCCACGGGCAAGTTCAAGTTTCTTCTCAAAGAGAGACCAAGCCAGGGCTCTCCCTGTGGCACGCTCTTGTCTACCCCACAGCTGCATTAGCAGCAGTCAGAGGTGACATATGGCCTCGGACCTGTGCTGACATTTATTCTCTGCTGTGTTGTGACAGGTGCTGGTGTTGATGGAGTGGAGGAAATTAAACGTCACCCGTTCTTTGTCACCATAGACTGGAATGTAAGTCATGTGTGGAGGTCTCCACTCTACACACAGGGCAAGGAGAGGGTGGAGGGGGTACTGCAGCTGCTTGGTGCACATGGCCTCTGCCTACACTAAGAGTCCAAGACAAATGCAGACTATCCACCTATGAGTGAGCATGCTCGATACGGCTGTCTCCCCAGAGAGATGCAAACTGGTGAGCATCTGTCTTCCAGAATCCTAGCTAGCACCCTGGCCATTGGGTCCACAGCATCCATCATCTTGCTGATGAGAGCTGCTGCTGAGGCTGAAGGCACACCGATGATAGACAGGCTTGCAGGGGTGACTTGCCTCTGACAGCCTCCTGGGCTCTCCCCCTTTCCCGAGGCATGTCACCTGATCCCCGTGCTGTGCGGCACAAAACTCTCACACATGGGATTATTTTATCTCAGAGGGCTTCTTAACAGAATGTTTAAGCATCGGGCTGGGTGTAGCCCAGTGGCGGAGATCTTGCCCAGCGTGTATGAGGTCCCCAGCATTGCAAAATACAAAGGGAGAATCAAAAGCAGAATGTACATTACATGTAAAGTTTACTCTCTGCTGCCTGCCCTCCCTTCTTCTGTCCTCGATTGTCTTACCTCAGAGAGCACAGGGTACAAACGGGCCACACAGAAGCTCCAGCCCCTTCTTACCTGAGCCCCATTCAAAATGAACAAGTCTGGGAGTCTCTGAACCCCGGCTCTGCAGTTCTGGTTACAGAACTTGTTTGAATGAGGCTTCTGCTCTCAGGTAAGGTCAGAGGGGTGCAGGTGGATTGTCAGGGTGCCTGTGTTTTCCAGCAAGTGTTCAGAGAGTGTAAAAAACTAGACTGTGGGGGTTGGAGAGACGGCTCGGCGGTTAAGAGCACTGACTGTTTGTCCAGAGATGCTGAGTTCAATTCCCAGCAACCACATGGTGGCTCACAACCATCTGTAATGGGATCCGATGCCCTATCCTAGTGTGTCTGAAGACAGCTATGGTGTATTCATATACATAAAATAAATAAATCTTAAAACAATACAACAATAAAACCAAACAGAGCAAGGCTTACTAAGGGCAGAATTTAAAAAAAAAAAAAAATTAGACAGTCCTCCCCCAAAGCCAAAGAAGACCTTGGAGAAAGAAGCAAAGCCAAACCTCACCCTCTGTCCGCCAACAGGCTCTACAGCTCCCTTTCAGGCTGTGTGAGCCGAGGAGTCATCCCACTGTGGAGCTGGCCCACAGAGAGGCCTCATGCTGCCCTGGGGAGTGATCAGGACAGCATATGGGGCATGAAAACCAAGCCTGGGGGCGAGGGGCATCTCCTCTGCCTGGCAGGCAGCATACCTTGGTTTGTCTGCAATGAGTCATTCCCTATTCGTTGATTCAAGCGTGCACCCGAGGCTTCCCCGGCTGGGGTAGCCATGATGAAGTAGAGCTGTACCTTGAGGATCCAGTGATCTCACTAAGGGAGAGAAGCTGTGAACAAATGACCCAGTGCTCTGTCCCAGAGGGTTCTGTTGCATAAAAGGTGGCTGGAAAGGAAGCGGGAAGGAGAATCGGGTCCAACCCAGCCTCTTCCATCCAGCCATCTTCCTGGACCTGTCTTCCCCAAGCCCTCATTTCATCTCCCCCTGACCCCGTCTCCTCGTCAGTGTCACCGTAGGAAACCTGCCCTGTACTCCTGACCCTGACTTGACCCCTCTGCTCCCATGCCCGTTAGCTTTGAGTCTGCCACATGGTATCACTCACTGGCTTGTGATGAGTGGTCCTTTCTGTCCCTCACCTCGAATGTGAGCCAAAGTCACAACAGCTGACATAGAAGACTTGACCCAGGCCTCTAAACAGGTCAGGGAGCCACCAGAAAGCTCCCTTTGAAAGAGTGAGACGGTGTGGGGAGGGGGCAGGGAGGGAGGGAGAGGGGAGGGAGGCAGGGAGGAAGAGCCTCTGAGTGACTGAGGGGTAGTTAAAAGGTGAGGGATGAGTCCCAGAAGTTTCCTCAGGGCCAGGGTGGTACCTGTGAAAGAGCATTAACCCCCAAATTCCCTTTCTTTCTGATATGTACTGCCCTCCTTCCAAAGACCCTGCTGGAGAGTGGAAAGCGAGTTGCCCAGTCAGAAGTGGGTGGGCTGGGGTGGAGTTAGCTTGAGGAGGGAGTCCTGGTGGCTGTACCTGGGAAGGAAAGGAACTCCCCAGCTATGCCCACAGGTAGTGGCTCCCGGGGTACATCCCCTCAAAGGATCTGGCTGAGAAGGAACTTTGATGAGTGGCCATCTAAGGATATCCTAGAGCAGGCAGCGGTCACAGGGTCTATAAAATGAGGTTCCTAGGATTTGAGCTGCAGATGGGTCTTGAACCCAGTGTTCTTCTGCTTCTGTTGTGGAGAAGGTCAAGACAGGAGGAGCATGAGGCAGTTGGTTACATTACATCTACAGTCAAACCCTGGAGAGAGAACCCAGGCGCGCGGTCGTTTGCTTGCTTCTGTACTTGCACACAGCTCAATCCGTCAGCTCTTAGTGCAGGTCAGGACTTCCTGTCTAGCAAATGGTGCCTCATACAGTGGCCCAAGTCTTCCCATATCAGTTAAGTTAAATCAGGGCAGTCATCCACCGGCATGCCCATAGGCCAGCCAATGTAGACAATCCCTCATTGAGACTTCTCTTCCTAGGTGATTCTAGATTGTGTCAGGTTGACAGTTAAAGCTAATCACCGCACCGTGCCAGGGCTGGGCTAGTATATACTGTAGAAGCCCGGGTCTGTGGGATCCTCTCTGCAGCCATAGACACCTTCCACAGACCATACCAGGCTCTCAGCTTGCCTTGCTTCTCTGTTACTGGGGAACCACGTTCCTTTGGTGCAAACATAGACATTGGGTCCCTGTACTAGGGTCTGGTATTTCTGTATAATTCGAAAGTAATTCAAGCTAAAGTACCGTGGGGAAGGGTTGCTTGTTTGTCTCGGCATTTGGTCTTAGTTTGTTTGGCTTTAATAGAGGCCTTTCTGGGTCACCAGGGCCATGTATGTATATTCTCACCCTGCCCTTGACAGACAGTACCCACCAGAGCCTGGAGGGATGGAGAAACGTCTGTGGTGGCTGTTCAGACATAGCCATCCTGTGTGAGCCTCCAGTGCAGAGCGAACAGAAGCAGGGAGAAGACGAGTAGGAAGTAACCAGGACAAGACAGGAAAGAAGGAAGGAAGGAGGTGCCTAGCATAGAACACGGGTGTGAACAGTTTTCGAAAGAACTGTGCTCAGGCTCTGAAGGCCTTGGTAGCTAATGTCTTGCTGGTCTAATTGGACCTGCCCTTCTGTCTCAGCTGCCCTTCCTCACACAAGTTGTCCTGGTGCCACCCCTGTGCGTCCATGGCAGGGCCACAACTAGTCTGATCCCACTACACACACACACACACACACACACACACACGCACATCATGCTTTAAGAAGTCTGTAGACGTGTGTGTCCTGTGCACCTTCGTGACGTGAGCAAATCACCTCACTGAAAACCACAGAAGTCCCATGTTCTCAAGGAGTCTTTTCAGCAGACATTTAAGGGTGGCAAAGGAGAAGACATTTGCAGGCATCAGATTCCTGCCCATGGACAGGTTATCCAGGTGCGGCCCCAGGATGCAGCTGATCAAACAGTCGTTTATTTATTTTGATTTCCGCTGCCTTCTGTGACCCCAAACCTACCAGCATATATTTCTACATTGTAAAGGTAAACATCTGTCATCCACCAGGTGTCTCCTGGGGATCTGATGACCTGCGGGCACGGAGCATGCCATCCACCAGAGTGTGGGTCACCAGTGTTAGCTGGGGCAAGTGGAGGGTCGAAGCTCCCTGTGATTTACCTGGCCTTTCTGCCTGCCCTTTGCTCCCAGCACATGAGTGCCGGCTCCAGGTCTGCCCTCTGAACATCCGTGCTGCTTGCCTAGCTAAGTGAAAAATTACAAGTTAATTATAGACCAGGAAGCTCGCGCAGAGCACGGTGGAGCCGGCAAATGTAAGCTGTGTTTACTTTTCCCCAGTGGCTGAGGCAATGCTGAGAGCTCAGGATTAGCACAAACCCAAAATAAACACACAAGGTGACCTCACGGGGTAAGCAAGTCAGCCCACATTGGTATCCAGCCAGCCAGCTTCTAGCAAGCAGACCCAGGGTGAAAATGGCATTCAGACGGGCAGAGAACAGTACTGCACCAGATTAGTCCCAGTGTGGCAGGGTGGAGGTACCTGAAAGATCGCTTGTTTCCAGACCACCAGCCAAAGCCAAAGCCCATTCCTTGGCATAAGGACTTGCAGATGTGTCTGCCGGCATGGCAGCCACTGCTGTTAACTGTTAATATGAGCGACTCATGCTTGTGGTGCTTTTTCCATCCGTGGCCCAGCACATTGTTTCTCTGTGAGTGGAGGGGTTTGAAGAGAAACTGAGACCCTAGACAGCTCTATGTGTGGCAATGTGCTGTTGGTGCCCTTGGCTGTCCTGTGCACCGGCTGGAGCAGGTGGAGGGTAGTGAGCGATTCTCTGTACTGCTGGAGTGTTCCCTAACTGTGGACCTCAGCAGCATTTTCATCTTGTGCTCTGCTCCCACTGCTGCAGGGGGATTTCCAGCACTTCCTCCTGTGGTGGATGTGCCAGGGGAGTTCACCCCTCTGAAGTCCCCATGAGGACTGTGGCCACGGTACCTCTGTCTTGGGACTTTGTAGATCCAGATAGGTTTGCACCATCACTTGGGTTGGGCAGGCTTATAGAGGTAGTGTTCTTCCTCAATGCCCGTCCACGGAGTCCTGGTCGTCCCTCCATTCCCCAACTTCCTTGTACTCTACTTCACAGCAACCTACTCACAGTAATTTGTGCTAAAAAACAAAAGCACACTCACCCTTTGCAAAACCTCAGAGCCACCCATGTGTGGACACAGGGAAACAAAGCTATGCTATGTATAGTAAGAGCACATATTGGCACTTTGCAGAATGTGTGTGCAGCAAGAACAGTCACAGAACTGCCCTTAAGATCATGAGAAGTCTCTAGGAAGTCACTGTAGCACAAAGCAACTGCTCCAGAGAGCCCTACAAGGCGTGGGGTAGAGGCTTCCCAGTGCTTGCTGCCGCCACCACTGAAGAAGCTGTGACAACCTTGGGGCAGAGGGCATGCTGCCAGCAATGATACATACACATCATGGATGGCCCTGCCATAGCAGTGACACACACGCATGGCCCTGCCTCAGGAAGACGGTCTGTCCCTTGACAAATGATCTATCCACTCTGTCACGTGCCTCCTGCTGCCTCTCTGTAGCTGGATCAGGCTACATGAGGTGACACATTTGCCAGAATGCCCCATACAACCTGGCATTCACAGCACACAGCTGTGATGTGTGATCATCTCAGTCCCTGATCATTCAGCAGTGGCCACTGGTGGCTCCAGTACTGGGCTCTGGGGCATAGGAAGGGCAGAGAAGTGAACTGAACATAATGCAGGGTGAAGCACAATGCATCACTGAGCAGAGCCCCACGGCACAGCATCTGGACCATCTGTGTCTTCTATTCGTCAGAGATGCTCTTGACCCAGCGATCTCTCGGCACCCTGGCTGAGCATGCGCTGTGCTCCAGTCACTGCTGTTTCTGTCTAGATGACATAAGGGCATGAACCCCTGCCCTGCTGACCAAAGCAGATGGTAGGATTGGGACCAAGAAAGTGTCCCTGGAGTCAGAATGTGCAGAAGTAAAGCTAAGCTTTCTCATGCAGTGGGGCTCCTGAGCATCAGTCTCCCTATGGAATGCTGGGTGAGTGCCCTGTCTGTCCATCTGTCATAGGCTAACAGACCCACAGCCAGCTTTGCCCACATCAGTGCTTCCTATAGAGAGGAAAGGGTGTCAAGGTGTGTATAATGTCTGTCACGCTGCTTCTTCACAAACCCGACTGTGCAGTCACAGTGTTGATGATCAGACCAAAAAGGACAGAGTGTGTGTGGGGGGGGGAGGGGGGGGAGCCAAGCCAGGTAATGTGGGTATCATGGCCACCTGAGGTGATGCTTTCTGGTGTGGACTGCCCTGAAAGAGGGACAGTTTGGGCAACCACATCTCCAGGCGTTACGTCAGCAGGCAGTCCTGCTGAGGAGGATTGTCCTAGGGCAGAGGTCCAGCTGAGGAATGGTGGCAGGCGTCTGTAAGAGCTCAGCCTTCTCCACACTGAGGTCCCTGTGGACTGAGGGATCAATGCTTAGCTCCCCCTTTCGTAGCCAAAGCTGCTTCTCAGGCTTAAGCAGTTCTGTTGTTCGTCATTTTGTCTCTAAATGGAAAGCCCTTGTGTAAATCAGTCCCCTTATAAAAGTAATAGACCTGGCTCTTGTACAGGCTGCCTGTCCTTCTCTCCTTTTTCCCCTCTCTCCTCTTCTACCTCTCCCCACCTCCTCCCACTTCACTTCCCAGTACCCCTCTCAGGAGCGGTGGTTTCTCCTCCTAGTAGCCTATCTGAAGTTTAGTTGGACATTTCTGGACAGGAGTAGTAGACTGCCAGCGCCTGGCAAGGCCTAGGTCCTACTCTGAGGTCCCTGCTATGGGATTTCCCCCCAGAGTTACCTCCACTAGAGATGTGTATCCCAACCGAGCTGGTGTCGCATAAAACACGGGCCTTCTATTTCTCTGCTCCTAATGAGAGGCATTCACCGTAGTGGGATGACAGAGTAATTCTAATCCAAGCTTGGGATGAATTTTTGCTTCTCCATAGCTCCCCACAGGTATCTGGGTGCCTGTGATCACCCTGGATCAGGGACCATATTGTCCTTTCTGCGTCACCCCACTCCCAGGGCAGGCGCTGGCTGTCAGCAGCATCCTAGCCTCTTCCCTTTGGGCTTGATCCAGTATGTTCACCGCAGTTGCACTGTGTTTTGAGCATACGGTGTTTTGAGAAGATTCTGGAGTCTAGCTCCTTCCTTCTCAGCCCCACCCACTCACCCTTGGCCTTGAACTTGCTGCGTAGCTCCTAGCCTCAGTTTGCCTACCTGGTGAGGTGACAGGATTGGTTTTCCCTTGTGGAGTTGAATAGGACATATTTTGCCTGCAGACATTGAATCCGTACTATCCATGACTCCCCAGCTGTGATACTGGACCCCCAAAACATTCACCATAACTACCAAGGTGATAGGGCATGATATCAAAGCTAAGATAGGAAACCAGAAGTTCAAGTCCATCCTAGGCTACTTGGCAAATTCCAGGCCAGCTTACACTACATACCAAGAACCCTGCCCTAAATGGGTGGGTACAGTGAGATGCTCCTCAAGGTATCTGTTCCTCGATAGCACTGAGGTTGCAGTTGTCTTGTGTTCCCATGGGGCTATGACATCACCCTCTGTCTCCAAGGTGACCCTTACACTCAGTTCTCCCAGTACTTTCTGCTTCCTCCGTCACAGCCCCTTCTTGCCAGTCTCTGCCCTTCAATCCCCTTGTTTCTTTACCATCCATACCACAGCTACCTTCCCAGATCTCAAATGCGCTGCTCTTGAACTACCTCATCCAGTATTGTCTCCAAAGAGGACTGGAAAAACACTTTGGGTTTTGAAAGCAGGTTACAGCAGCAGGTCTGGGAGGGACTTCTGTGTCTTGCCAATGGCCCAGGAACTGGGAAGGGCTATGTGAGCAAGGGGTGTTCTGTGCCTCAGTTTCCACAGTTCCCAGAGTGTTGAAGTGGGTTCCAAGGTGGCAATCCCACAGCTACTTTGTTTGGCGTTCACGGCTAACCTGTACTGTTTTCTTGGAGATAAAAATCCTGTGGCCAAAAACAAATTAGAAAACCATTGCCCTAAACTGGAGGATGTCCAACAGACCCCAAACCTTTAAACCTCCAACTACATCTTTTGTAATTTGCATTTAATAATAATTTCTACACTATGTGTATGGTTTTTATGACACAGTGGGATATAGTAACAGAATCTGCATTGCATCTCATCATACATCTTAGAAGTGTGAGAGCTGCTGTGGCCTCTGGTCTCAACATCTGTCTCATTCTCCCTGCAGAAGCTGTACCGAAAGGAGATCAAGCCACCATTCAAGCCAGCCGTGGGCAGGCCTGAGGACACCTTCCACTTTGACCCCGAGTTTACTACAAGGACCCCCACAGGTGTGTGCCGGTTCTTCCCAGCATGGCTGACCCCACCTAACTCCAGTAGACTTCGAGAAGGATGCTCCCTCAGGGAATAACCTTCAGTCTCATTTGGTGTTCCTGATTTCTCTGCTTAGCAGTAAGGTAGTGGGGACGGAACCAGTTTTCACTATCCCTTGTGTGACATCCACTTCAGAAGCAATCGAGGTTCTGTGAACCCCTCTCTTGTGAGATTCAAGACAGTGACAGCCCTCCCAGGGACACATAAGCAAGACACAGAAAGGAAACAGGTGGTTCACATCTCTAATGTATGGAAGAAGGTGGCCGTCTTTAGTCTCTAGGCTTATGAACTACATGTATTATTTCAGTGAAAGCTGGGACCTGTTTGATAGATTCTAGTACAGAAACCTACTTCATGGTGGTGAGATCTCTGGAGTCTGTGTAGTCCACTCATAACTGGTCCCTTTAAACATTAGCATTCTGGTTTACCGTTTTCTTACATGCTATAATTGTCTTTGACCATCATGACAGAGTAACACCAGAGGGTGGTTTAGCAAGAGATATTTGTCGTGTCTCGGTGCAGGAGGCTGGGTTTGAAGTCACATTGTGGACAGAGCTGTTCCTGGTAAGGCCTCTCTGTCTTATAGTTGGCCACACCGCCGTATCCTCTCATGGCCTTTATTCTGCGGATGAGAAAAGCTGGAGAGTGTTGGCTTTCCTTCCTCTTCCTGTAAGGACGTGAGTCCTGTGGGAAGAAGGCCCACTCCATGACCTCCTTTAACCTTGACTTCTCCCGTGAAGACCCTGTCTGCAAACAGCCAATTTCGGGTAGGGCGGTCGGAGGCACTCCAGTTATGTGGCTAAGCTCCTTGCAGACTCAGGAGCAAGTTCAGGTGGCCATTGTGGGAGCTGCTGATGGCTGAGCAGGAATTCTTGGGGATTCCTGGGATTCCTCACTACTTCCAGATAGGAAATGGCATACAGTTGTTGAAAACTAAGTGCAAAGCAGGAAGACTACCAACCATGAGTCTCAAGTTGAGAGACATGGAATAGAGAGCCCACCCTGTTCTTTTGGGTATAGGCTCTGGGGCAATGACTTTTTCCACACCCTCTGGGCAGAGAAATGGACATGGCCTCCCTGTGTTATGATGGACAGGGCTCTGGGGACTTCTTTTGGACCTAGGGTAAGTCCTCTTTGAGCAACATGGCATAAAGAACAATGCATTGATTCAGGGCAGGCAGCCCCATACAGTCAGCACACAGGCGGCTCTTTCTGCCCTGGATCCCACTCAACCTCAGGGAAGACCAAAACTGTAGTCAGGAGCAAGGCTGAGGTAGGAGTGTCTGTGAATATCGTCATGCTACACGTTACCGATGCCACAATGTGGTCAGTCCATGACAGCATGAGCCAGGGAACAGAGGAGGACTCCTTCCTCTTCAGCTGCTGAGGTCAGCAGGTCAGACCCCAGAAGACACCTGAGCAGCTCATGAATCCCCCTGCATCCAGAGATGCAGATGAACAAACACCAAAGCAGTTTTCTCTGGATGAGAAGATGGCCTGTGAACCAGAGAAGACTCCACCAAGACCACAGAGATGGCAGCAGCCCCACTGAAAAGCACAACATTAGTCATTCCATCGTGTGAAGGAAGCCACGTGTTAAAAATGCTCAACAGTTGCGGTGCTGGCATCTCTGGGTGATCTGGTGCCTGTGTTCTCTATTCAATGGGGAATTCAGTCCCCAGCCTGGTTGGCTGGTGTGACCATAAATAAGCCTCACAAGCCTTTTGTACATAGAGAATGATGTTTTATCTCATTATTACCCCAAGGAAAACCCATCAGACATAGTGCATTCAACCCTATGTCTAGACCTGGCTCACAGTATTCCTCAGTATTGTGATTTGTTCAGATGCTAAGTTAAGATACCTTGCCAAGCAGTTTGCGTTTAGGGAGGCCGTAATGGAAATTGCTAGAGGGACAGAGAAGTGCTCTGATGTTGACATCAGGGTAAGCTTTTCCCAGCAGGAACGCTGAGTAACCCCTAAGTTGAAGAGCCGTGGTCATGCGATTCTGAGACAGTCTAGACGCACAGAGGGTCTTTCTTGCAGCAGACTTTCTGAAGTCTCGATTAAAGTAAAGCCAGCCAGCGTGTGCTTCTGGATCACAGGTCAGCCGCTCAGCGGGGCCTGCCCATCTAAGGTTTGAAAATGTTTCCCACGGGGCAGGATGCTCCCAAAGGTTGTTTCTGCTTGTAAAAGTTTACTTTTTAAATTTTAGCTTGTAATTTTGTTCTTCTGTATGTACTATGCTGGCATTCAGCCATCTCTTCACAGAGCCTAAAGCTTTCTAAATTCTGTTTCTACTACCTGCTATTTGCTCCCCATCCAGCCTCAAAAATCAAATATCCGTTCCTCCGGCTTCTTATAAAGACCTCTTTGCCCTTCAGCTGACTAGCCGTTCTTGTGCTTCGGCTGACTCCTTTGCTCTAAGCAGAGAGCGTCTTTATTGACTGGAAGACATTGCTGACTTGATCTGCGTTTTCTCACTTCTAAAAATTAGTGTGACCTGTTCCCTACACACACGCACAGGCATACACACCCAATGTGCTATAAATAGACTGTGGTCTGTACCCTCACCACTGCCAGGCTCGGTGAATTCCTAGAATCGCCCAAGTTCTTAACCTTAAGCCTAAATCCCTGAGATTGACATACCCATTGTTAAACTGTTTTTCTCTGGTTCAGTCTCTTAGTGTTAAGAGAAGGCAAGAAAACAGACCTCAAAGCCAGACTCTAATGCAGGGAAAAGAAAGACAAATATGAAGAGCCTGACCGAGCAGGAGCCTGTCCATCTATAGGGCCCATGTTGAGGGAAGGAGCCTGTCTACATTAAACTGCCGGCTGCCACTGGGCGTCTCGCTGTGCATAACTTCACGTTCTAAAAACAACGCTGCCGAGTTCTCCTTGTAACTAAGCTTCCCCAGTCTAGCACATTTGGGATTTATTTCTAAGCAGCCAGCCCTGGTCACATTAATAATTCAGGGTCACATTAATTCAGGGCCACATTAATTCAGGGTCACATTAGTATCTGTGTGTGTGGGAGACAGACCCTCTTTGCAAGGCAGTAAGTCTTGCTTCTATCCAGGAGTCTTAAGATGAACATGTATCCAGGAAGCTTCCTGCCCCATATGATGTGCTGGCACCCGTGCCCCAGTAAAGCACATGTGGGGTATCTCCACCTAACCACAACCAGGCCCTGACTGGTATCAGAGACCCTCCCAGCTCAGTGGCCTGCCCCTGTGCTGGGAAGCAACTGCCCTCATAACCCTGTACGGGAAGCAGAACATGAAGGAACAATAACTCCATTTCCTCCAAAAGTACCTCTCCTTCCCATCCCCCTCCCAACTGTTGTCTTTATGTCAAAGAAAAGGATGGGAAGAAGAGGAAGGGCACAGGTAGAAAGGCAGAAGCTCGTCTCTCCTCAGGGTAAATGCCTCTGGACTATGCAAATGTCTTAAGATGTTTAATGTACTATGTGTTTTTCAATTGTCACATATACCTGTAAGAAAAAAATACATATGTAGTGTTTTATATACTATTGGTTCATTTATAAATTATGTATTTACATATCCTGCTATATTACAGAATTTCTCATATACTACAAATTTTATATACATTTAATATAAAAATATATTAGATATTTGCAATCTGAATCTTCAATTTCAGGGAGCATGTTCTCTTTATCATTTCATAATATCCTTTCTCTGTCTCCCTTTCTTGTCTCTGTCTCTGTCTCTCTGTCTCTCTCTCTCTCTTTTTCTTTTTAATCTCTTATTTGTGGGTTTTGTTGTTGTTATTTCTGCTATTTTCTTGAGTCAGGTCTTGTTTGTAGCCCAGGCTGGCCTTGAGATTGTGATCTTCCTTCCTCGGCCTTCCAAGCCTGACAGACACTCTGACAGGAGGACACCACCACACTTGACCGGTGTCTTTGTTTTTCTGCTTTTGCTTTCACACTGTTAGGATCACACTTCTGTCTCAGATATGGTTGTCCATCTTCCTAGAACAATCACCTAAGGGACGGGGATGGCTCAAGTACAAACCTGAATTCAGATTCTCAGTATTCACATAAAAAGCCCGACACAGGGGTCAGTGGAATGGCTCAGAGAGTAAAAATCCTTGGTGCACAAGGCTGGTAACTTGAGTTTGGTCTCTAGAAGCCCACAGAAAGCTGGATGTGGTGCTGGCACCTGTAATCCCAAGACTCCTATGAGCACCAGAGATGGGAGAAGCACCCAGAGGTCCTGGACTAGGGTTGTATTATTTACCTCTCTGCTGATATGCTGAAACGCCCTTTTCAGTGCAACTGAAGAGAGAGCTTTGGTTTTGCTCACAGTTTAAAAGGTCACAGTCTATAATGACACGGAAGGCGTGATGACAAGAACATGAGGATAGCCCAACACATTCTATCAGCTAAGTCCAATGCGCTGTACCAGCTGAGGCTAGCCCAATGCATTGTATCAGCAGTCTGAAAGCAGAGAGGCTCCAAAACCTCACAGCCTGCCCCCAGTGATATGCTTCCTCCAGCAGGACTCCTTCTTTTAAAGTTCCGTATCCTTCCCAAACAGAGTAGCTGAGGACCAAGTGTTCAAACACATGAGCCTATGAGAGACATTTCATACCCAAGCCATAGCCGCCAGACAGCTTGGAGTACGCAGTGTGTCCGAAGCAAGAGACACAGAGAGAACAGAGGAGCTGAAAGTTCTCTCACCTTTACACACATGCCTGTGCTCACTGTGTCTCTCTGTCTGTCTGTCTGTCTTATCTCCCCCCCCTCACACACACACACACAAACACACACACACATACACACACACACACTCACACACACAACTAAATTAAAGCCAGGTAAGCCCTGTATTAAAGCCATCTGTATTAAAACCCTGTATTAAACCCCCAGAACTGAGGAAGTGGAGACAAATATGTCCCTAGAGTTTCGTAGCCAGCCAGCCTCGATGAATCCATAAAATATAAACTCAAAGTTCAATGAGAGACCCTATCTCCAAAATAAAATATGGAGAGTGGTCAAAGAAGACACCTAATCTTGACTTCTGGCCTCCACACAAACAAGCACACACATGTACACACACACACACACACACACACACACACACACACACATGCACACATCATCACATCACCATCATCAGAGTCCAGCAATAAAGCATTCTGATATGGGAAGACTGTTACTAATTGTGACTGTGACATCCTTAACAGTGACATGTAGGTTGGCTGTGGGTTGGTTTTTTTTTTTTTTCCTGTCACAAATAATGGTAAAGGCAACATTTCTCTATACTTGCTGCACTTTCGAAAGTAATCCTGAGGACTAAGTAGGCTGGCTCTTCAGAGGGCATGCGCCTTTGACAGTACAGGGGCCATTACCCATCCCTCCTCTTCCAAGAGGACGTGCCAGTTCGAGATCCTTCCTTCATCTCCTTTGGCCAAATCCAGATGTGGTTGATAACTCCTCCTTCTCCAGATCCCTTCTCCAGACAGTGCCATTGTGTTTAGATAAGCATGTGTCCCCTCATCTGAGAGCCTGGGAGTCTCCAGACACAGTGCCCGTGGAGGTGGCTTCCTTTGCCCATTCTTGTCTGACATACACGATGCAGGTATTACTCCCTGCTAGGCAGCCATGTACCTTCCTGTTTACCTAGTGGTGAACCTGCGGGAGAACCATGTTCTAACAGCCAAGCTCTTGAGCAGGCCTCTTGAACTTAGAAAATCACAGTGCAGAAAAAAATAATCACTCCTCTCATTCCACTGCTGGTTTGTGGGCAGCCATGACTTTGCCCGTGTATCCTTGAGGATCAGAGTGGTATAGCCTTGGCATAGAGCTGCGTATCTGTGGATGGGGTTTGTGCTGGCTGTGGGCTGGGCCTTGGGCAGAGTTAGGGGCTACAGGTGAATGTGGCACTGGGGAAGCTCTTGAGTTTTCTCTGATTGTACACAGCACCTGCCTAACCCAGAAAGGTGGTGCTTTCTGGTACCCCACCTGGCAGCTTTTCTCCTTGCTATGGAGCTAGGGGTTGATAAAGTGTGTTCAGGAATATTTAGTAGCTTTTGAAGTCAGTAACCTTATAACATGTGATCCACAACTATCTGAGAACTTCTGTGTTGTGTGTGTTTGACTAGTCAGACTCCTGGCAGCTCCTGGAATAGTCTGTTTCTATCCCTGTCTGCATACATACATTCTCCAGCACACACGTTCCATGTGTGTTCACATGCACACGCCATTGTTTTGCCTGGCTCACTTGGATCTCATGAAGTGTCAACCATGCCTTGCTCTTCCGCAGACTCTCCTGGTGTCCCCCCAAGTGCAAACGCCCACCACCTGTTCAGAGGATTCAGTTTTGTGGCCTCCAGCCTGGTCCAGGAGCCCTCACAGCAAGATGCACCCAAGGCCCCCATTCACCCAATTGTGCAGGTAAGTCTGATCACCCAGGAGCTCAGTTCATAGCCTTGATGCCTGGCCTTGGAGACCCTGTGGACTTTTATCAGCTCAGTGTTGAGAGCCAACAGTGTGTTAATGGCAAACATCCCCCCCACCCCGTCCCTAGATGTTACTGTTACTATGGTGATTTTCCTGGCGGTCTGAACACATTTATTTCTATGAAGGAATAAAAAAGTCTTGAGGAGAAGATCACCATGGGTATCTGTGCCAGTGGCCCCTCAGGACAGATTTGAGGATCTTCTCTGTGAATTATGGGTGCCATGTCATTCATTGTGTCATTACATGGCTATAACTAGAATTCAGAGAACCCAGAAGGATTAGGAGTAAGCTCACCTGAGCACTTGATGTTTCCTTTATCGTAATTAGATGGCGTTGGATTTCCCTGGCCTTTATCTCCCTGTGGTTATGGCTCATGAGGCTTTTGTCCTCAGGGGAGGTTGAGTGGAGACTGTACACACAGGCCAGAACTGGCTTTCGACTTAGACTTTCGAGGTTAGTGCTTTATGTGGAAACTGGAAAATTCGATACAGCCACATCCGAGTGCTTCTGCCTTGTCAATCCATCTCACTTCTGTAGATCTTTGGTGGAAAATGAGTGCTCAGTGGACACATAAGAACAATCTATGTGTTGCTCTGTGACCTCGGACAAGGGACTCTCAGTTTCCCCAAGCTCGCAAATTCCCACGGTGCCCTGAACTGGTGTCTGTTGTCACATGCACCTGTGTGAAAGTCTGGTAACCATTCCTGTCTTGGCTTCTCTGCAGCAGTTACATGGGAACAATATCCACTTCACTGATGGCTACGAGATCAAGGAGGACATCGGGGTGGGCTCCTACTCAGTGTGCAAGCGGTGTGTACACAAAGCCACAGATGCTGAGTACGCCGTGAAGGTAAGCTGAGGAAGGCGGATGTCCCGTGACCCAGCTGGGTAGCAACTCCAGCAGGAACGTAGATGCTGAGCAGGCTCCCTCCGTCTACAGCCTCTAAGGTCTGATGTGATAGACTTCAGTTTATTTTGATTCGAGGTCACCCATTTAAAAATTACTTTTCAAGCTGGGTGTGGTGACACACAGTCGCAACCAAAGCTGTCAGGAAACTGAGGCAGGAGAGCTGAGTGTCCCAGGCGAGCCTGGCCTATGTAGCAAGATCCTATCTCAGAGGACCCAAACAATTCTTTTCAAATCATAAATATTTCAATTATGTCCAACATGGAACTGTTCATCTTTAGCAACTAAGTATAACATATGCCAAGAATAACAGCTCCAGAACCCACTATCCAAGAAGATAGGATTGAACAAACAGGCATAGCATTTATCAAAGGAAGGAAAATGCTTGTGGAGGGGGTTGGAGAAAGGAAAGAAAAAAAGATCTAGCTGTGAGAAAACGATCTGAGAAGTGAATAGAATTAGAGAGTAAAGGAGAGGGCTCCCGCTTTTCTCCAACCACCAAAACCAGTGTGTAGTATATACTAACACTTGTAATCCAATATGCCAAGCTCTACATAGTAATTTTCAGCTCTGTACCTGTTGATAGATTAAATATTGGAGCTGAGAATCCAAAATGCTGATTTCTAGGGTTTTCTATAAAGCTCTTTCTTCTGAAGTCAGGGCGTGACTTACAGGAATGCACACACCTTACATTCTCTCTACACAACCCTGAGGCTAGCCTTCACCACTTGTCCTAACACTGGAGATATAGGTCTTGGGAGAGATGGCTCAGTGGGTAGAACACTTGCTGGAGGACATGTGGACCTGACTTCAAATCTCCACAACCTACATAAGACCAGGTGTGTAGCACACGTCTGTATTACAGTGCAAAACCAAGCGTGTAGCACACGTCTATATTACAGTGCTCCTAGATGTGATGGGAGGTGAGACAGGAGAGTTCCCAGGATTGACTGGGCCAGCTAGCCTGGCCTGTGCTGAGGTGAACAGTGAGAAGGGACTGTTTCAGACAAGGTTGAACGAGAGGCCTGAGGCCTGAGGTTGTTCTCTGACCTCTATACCTATGCTATGGCACACACACATACACACACACACACACACACACACACACACACACACCAAAAAAAGACTTAAGAGACAAAGTCCAAGCCTGTGCCACCATCACAGGGACCATGTTGGCTCCACTTGGCATGTGTCGCTGGCCCAGCTCTTCAGAGAGTATCTAGGAAGAAGTGGAGCTGGCCAGCAAGGCAAGACACAACAGGAGCAGTTTCCACCCGTTGTGATTTTCCAGGCTCTGAGAAGGGTGCTCAGCATACAGACTGATTGAGGTATCATGCATCCAATGCTGTTTCTTGACAGGGAACATTTCTCAGAAACATATTCTCTAGAGAATGTGCGTCTTCACGGGCCACCTACCCCAGGTTTCTCAGGCTGTGAAAGTATTCATCAGCCTTGAAACAAAGCAAAAAACAGAACAAAACAAAAAACAATTACCACCAGCCGAACAGCTCAGGAATCTGTGGTCTTTTGCCAAACTGAACTTGGATTTGTCCAACAAGAGTGTTTAAAAGTAGAAGGATTAACTTAAGAGCTCTCCTCATTCGGCCTGCCCATGAAGGGGAGGATTGAGGGAGGAAGTGGGAAGAGGAAACTTCCTGGAGTCCTTGATGTGATGGTGGTGGAAGCAGGTGCTTGGAGATACAGCAGGGTCAATAGCCAGTGTCATGGAGCGGCCGCCTCTGTGGCATAGTCAGATTGTGCATAGCTGGGGGTTTACTTAAGACCCATACTCTGCCTCACCCCAGGACTTTCCAGCGCTTTGTAAGCTGGTGTGAGCTTCTTAGTATTTCTCTGTGTGAATTGTTTCTCACAGAAATTCTTTAGATAGTTTATCTGGAAGCCAGCAGCACTCCTAGAAGCAAGCTCAGCTGCCAAAGAGTGCTAAGAAACACATCTATTGTGTGGCCAGCTCAGCTGACCCAGTGCCCTTCTAGAAATAGCCTGCTACTGTTCAGTGAAATTCTGTGTCCTGCGACTAGGGCTCCAAGTACAAGAGCAGTGGCCTTCTCTCTGGTATTCCTGCACCCAGCTCTCACGCAGAGCCATCTGTTACCAGCTTTGTTGGGAGTTAGGACTCTGTCCTCAAAGATCCTTTTGTAGTTTGACCCTGTGGACCTTCAGTGATAGCTCTCTTTCCAACCTGTACACCCCAGGAAGAAAAGCTAGGCACTGTGTCTCTAGTTAACAGTGAAGAAAGAGCCAGGCTTTCCAGCTTCTCTTTCGAAGCTTTGAAATTTCCTGGACAAAGCAAGTGGTGGGCATGCGCGGGGACTCCCCTTGTCCTTTCTAAGACTAAAATGGACCATAATTCATTTTTTAAAAAATGCTTAAATTAACCCTCGCTGGAAGGAACAGAACTACAGAAAGCCGTGGCGTCTTGGCAAAACATAGTTAGGTGTCCACATTTCACCTAGGAGCATGCACAAGCCGTGTGTGGGTGGGAAGCACTAAGTCCACTTCTGTGAGGGTTGAACAATTGTCGAGTTTTCCTTAAAGATGAAAGAGTCAACACTCCATCATTTCCTGAGTCCATAACCACAGTGGGTGTCCGCTCTGGTGAGCAGAGCCTAGGCAGGCCTTTCTGTAGGTTTGTGGACTCAAGAAAGCCAGACATGAGTTGGGAGTAGACTGAGCTGTAGAAGACAGAGGTCTGTGCTCACACATCGTAGTGCTTGGTCAGTTAAGAGGAAAGCACTCTGGCGCTGTGCTTCAAATCAGGATCATCTTTATACGGCATTCAGAAAACTGTTCAACAGAGAGCACACTGCCTGCGGACCCCTCGATTGCTCCTTCAGGAAGCCAGCTGCCTTGCATCTCTGCTTCTCTGACATTATCTTTTCTCGCTGGTCACAGAACCGGAAGCCTCAACACATGGGTTAGCTAAAACTCTGAGGTCGCATGGCCTGTCCCCTTACATACTCACACTTACACATACATATGCAGCTCAGGCACTGACACCTCTTTACTAACAACTCCCTCCTGTGGCTGAGAAGTTTTGGGGGGAACATGTGAATCTGGTCAGCCCCAGACATGTTTTCCTTAGAAGGCAGCAGCCGCACCCCTCAGCCACACATTCGCCGTTATTAAATGTGTGTAGTTTGGATCAGATAAAAATAAAAACCCTTGCTGCCAAGCCGGAGGACCCGAGTTCCATCCCAGGACTCACACGGTGGAAGGAGGTGACCAGCCCTAGCAAGCTGTCATGTGACCATCACGCATGCCCCGTGCTCCGTGCTGCGCATACCCACACACATACACAACTGAAGAAATAGACGAAAAATTAAAAATTAAGAAGCCTTAAAGTCGTTCCAAAGTGTGTGTCACCCTGTTGTCTTAAAGCTTTTAAAATAGTTTACTTTAGTCATTTTTGCTACCATTCCATTCTTCTCCCTCTGGAACCTTCTCTTCTTTCCAAGAAGTCTCCCTCTCACTTCCCTGTCTGTTCCACATGTGACTGCCGAGTTCAGTTCCATGGTAAGTAGACGTGTGGCTATTTGCTTGAACCAGAACAACATATCTTTAGCCCCCACAGATCTCCTCCCAACAACTCTGACTGCTCCTAGTCCCCAGAAGAAGGCCTGTGCCTGTCATTGAAGTCTTGGTCCTGTGTGCAGAGACAGATGACCTTCTCAACAGCCAGTGTTCCCAAGCTGTTTGTGGCTTCCCTGTCAGCAATTGGATGATTGTGTGTGCTTGTATGTCATCGTATTTTTAACTACAACAGAGGATGTGGCCACCACGCCCAGGACAGGACAGGCCTCACTCCCCTGAGGAGCCAGAGTTTGGATTCACATCACGTCATCCGTGTACCACAGCTTTTGCATGGCTGCACTCAGCTTCATTCTGTGTATATAATTTGTCAGCCAGAAAGGAAGTGGAATTAAACAGATGCTTGGCCTGGAGATTGTATTTTTAGAAGGACGGATTGGCATGGAAATTTTAATTTTTTCCTATTGAGAAAACACCGGAGTTCTTTCTCTTTGTCATTTGCTTTAATTAATTTTACAGGAGAAAAATGTTTGAGCTTTTTTTTTTTCAAGTAATTACATGCTCCACTTGCCTCGCTCCCAACAAAGTATGATCCTTCTAACGGAAGGAGATGCTGGGCAGGGGTGCATCCCGCTTGCCCTGCAGTACACACTTTGGCCTTTAGACCCAGCTGGCATGCCGCTCGGCACCTGGAAAGACAGCACTTCAGTGATGGAGCCTGAGAAACACAAGAAAGGACACAGACAGACACAGAGAAGGAAAACGAAGACGTGGGGGAAACGCACACATGGATGGTGGCCGAGACTTACGTGTGCCAGCAGCAGCCACCAGCAAACATGCTTCACCTGCTAAGAAAAGCCGTCTTCTTGCCCCAGCCATTGTGGAAACCACACTTGTTCCGGGAATAGGCACACCTTGTTTAGCATCTCTGAGGAAGATGAGAAGTAGTTGCTGCACAGCCACAGGGAGCTTATCCACCTGCAGCGGGGTCAGCGGTTGGCCCGCAGGATGCTGCCCAACAAGTACCCTTCTATGCATCTGCTGCCTGGTGAAAAGAAGAGGCATGAAGCAGAAAGATTCCCCCTTCCTCCAGCCTTTGATTGTGTTGTCTCCGTTATCAAGCTAATGCCTGGAGAGGAGAGCCAAGCAAGAGCATGGTTAGAAGAAGTAAATCCAACTGCATCACTCCCAAGAAACCACCCCTCCAGAAACTCCAGAAAGAAGGATCTTGCATACCCTTCAGCCACACAGCAGCCAGCTGAGAAAACACCTCACTCACTGATCACTGATAGGGGTGCCTTACAACTTCCACCAAACAATTAGATGGTATTCAGTGTGAGATTATGGCACACGGTATTCATGCCCAGGAGCATGCCATGCTGTAACAGATGAACTAGCGTGTGCTCCCATGTGCCACCTGGTTGAACATAGGCTCTTCTTATAGCCTTAAGGTGCTAGTCAATGTCAGTGAGATCTTAAGGTCTTTGCTAGTGGATTTGTTTGCAAGTATTTATAGCCTTTCGTCAGAATTTTTCTCATGACTTACATCAGAAGAACACACAGGAGTAAAACACAATACAGTGAAGAAACAGATCAGGCATTTGTAGCCCCGGGTGTTTTTATGATGATTATGGTATTCTCCCGCCGGGTTGTGGTGGTGCATGCCTTTAATCCCAGCACTTGGGAGGCAGAGGCAGGCGGATTTCTGAGTTTGAGGCCAGCCTGGTCTACAGAGTGAGTTCCAGGACAGCCAGGGCTACACAGAGAAACCCTGTCTCGAAAAAAAAAAAAAGGTATTCTCCCATCTAATATGTTAGTAGATAACATTCTCACAGATCCAGATTCAAAAGCTATGCTGGAGGAAACCTCACAGTCTTCCAGCCATGGCTCCAGCTCCTCCGCGGGAAGCCAAGGTTATTAAGATTTTCCTCTTCCCTTTCAGGGTTATTTATGCATTCTCAAGGAAATGCACGTGTCTGACTACATTCCTTCTCTGCTTCTAACACAAATGGCAGCATAGGATGCACCTGTGATGCTTTTCCATCGTGAAGAGTGTCCCTGGCAGCAGACAAAAGCCTTCCTCTTGTTAATCCGCATCCAGCTCCTTTGTGAGGAGACCGGATTGATGTTAGGAGTGGACAGCTTTATCGTGAAATGCCTTTGAGAAAAAAATATCCATCTGCCACTAAATTGTTTATGCCCATAAATGTTTCACAAAGGGAACATGCTGGGGAGGGGTTACCCACAGTAGTTAGAGTGGGTAGACTTAAACTAGATGGTGCTAGTATGCAGGGCACAGGGTGCTGTGGGGGACGGAGCAGGGGCTCATTCCTGAATTTATGAGCCGTTCTCACCATATGTGCTCTCCATTCCACACACATGGCTGCTCCGTCTCCACCAGCTTGCCCCACAAACAACAAGGCACCCTCTGAGGCATCAGAGCCATCAAGTAGCACAGGGACTCCCTGTTTCAAAGGCATGTGATTTTCAAGGCTTCCACGGATGGTAGGAGAAGGCACCCATCTTCCTGGAATTAAACAGCTTTCAATTCTATTCCAAGATATTGTGCAAAATACTGGGCAGGAGGAGGAACTCAACAAGAAAGGGGTATCTGGTTGGCCTGAGAGAAGTACAGCCTGCTCAACCTCCAGCATCTGTCTGGGAGGACCTGCTATTTTACATCATTTTGTGGCTGGCCTGCAGTTTCCTGGACAAAGCAGAGGTGCTCAGTGACTAGAGGCTCACTTTGAAGGAGGGAGAACTTAACTTCCCAGAGTTCAGTGGCAGAAGTAGGCTGAGCTACTTGCTAGTGCCTGGGTGAGCTCTCCGTGTGTGCTCTGCTGTGTCTGGCCTTTTGATATCTTGAGGTTCATGTCTAAGGGTTGTCTCCTCTTTCTTGTGGCATTGGGGATTGTCTTGTACATGCTAGACATTGTACACACAAAACATTGTACATGTTAGTTGTGTGCTCTGCCACCAAGCGACATCCCTAGCTACATTCTTCCTTCTCAACTTTTTACTCTGAGGCAGGGTCTCATTAAGTCACCCTGACAGGCCCACAACTGCAAGTCTTGCTGTTACATGCTCCCTGGTAGCTGGAGGAGTTACTGACCTGGTTTCCTCTTATTAATTGGGACTCTTTTTGCTAGCTGAGACAGGAGAGACTAGATCTACATTTCTGAGTAGTTTTAAGTGGTCGTGGTTGAGTACTATGGGGGCGGGGGCAGCTGTGCTGTGCCTCTCTGGAGCCTCAAGTTTGTTATATGCAACGGTCCAGCAAAGCCAGCAGCAAACCTCTCACTGTTCCCTGCTGTGTGTCCTTCAGATCATCGATAAGAGCAAAAGGGATCCCTCAGAGGAGATTGAGATCCTCCTGCGGTATGGCCAGCACCCCAACATCATCACCCTAAAAGATGTAAGTACTGCTGTGTGGCAGCCCCACCTCAGCCTCTTACTTCAGCTAACACAAAAATCCTACCGTATGCACAGTACAAGGACTCTCATGTCGCCCATCTTCAGCATGAGCAGGATCACATGTGCTAGACACTTGCCACCCAGGAGTCTCTGGTGCTTTGGTGGCTGGCCATCCTAACTTGGGTGCATACACACATACCTGGGTGTGTGCATACCTCTGGATAGTCCCCTACTCTCCCCAGCCACGCCATGGACAAGCATAAAATGACCCATCTGTGTTCATCGTAATAGGAGTCTATTCCTTGTCATTGAGTCACTCCTGGCTGACACATGCAGGGTGGCCTTAACTGTAGAGATTTTTACAGCCTCCTTTGGGCCTTCCATGACGAGGGGATTGGAGCAGGAGTCAGCCTCATCAAGCCAGTATGCAAGGTCACTCTACCCCATGAAGCATTCAGGGCAGCTCTGGGTTTGGGAAGAGACAAAAATTTCTCTTCTTGCACTTACCTCTTGGCGTAGTCCCTGGGTCTACCTCAGTGTAGCTTGGGCAGCCCCTCACAGAATAGAGCTCAATGCCAGGGAGCACAGGCAATGAATGGCTCATATTCAAAAGCTTTGATGGAGCCAGCTTCATCTCCTGGGTGTCTCAGATACCTCACTGTACAAGCGTGGTGCTCTGACTCTGCGTTCTCGGTTTACATGTAAGACTCAGAACCCAAACCAGCTCATCCACACACCGAGAGCTCCCTTCTGCACTTTGGAAGCGAGCAGCCCAGGTCTGAGACAGCATCATCTTCCCACCTTCAGAATAGAGCGGTGGGTTCATAAGCCCAAAACAAACACAGCAGAATTAGCTGCACACCTTTGACACAGGTCAAAGTCATGTAAGTTATTTTAGTAGCTTGTTCTGGAAATTCGTTGAGTAAATTATTATCACTGGGATAAAAATAAGCATTTAGGCCTGCCACCTCATTTACACTGTTCCCAGAGCTTGAGCACCCTTGCGCGTGGTGACTGAGGTACATGTGTGATTTCCGTATGTGTGGGGAAGATACATATGTGATCTCCATGTATACAGGGGAATACACGTGTGATCTCCGTATGTGCAGGGCACAAAAGTAGCCAGGGTTTGATTTTTGTTTTTCATTTTTAAACCGAGTCTTAAGCTAGTGCAGGCAAAATCTGTGTCTTTCTTAGAGCCGTGTTCCATCCCCGCAGACCTACAGAGCCAGAACAGATACTCTGACTTGACCTCTGAGACTATATGCACAATGGTAGCTGAGAATCAGTGTCGTTGGGGAGTGTTGTCACTGCAGTCACGTTTCTCTGAGTGCCTACCACTCAGAGATGGCAGCATCACTATAAGGCATATCCCAGCAAAGCAACCCTTCTCCACCCCTGTGCATTCCATGGCTTAGCCTCCTCCTTCCCCAAGATGTCAAAGCTAAAACCTTCCTAAGAAGAGCCACTCCTGTGTGGCAGGAATGGCTACTCACCCATTTGCAATTGTCAAACAACTTGCTCTTCCTCCTAGGGAACCAGTCCCCAGCTTCTCTCCAACATCCCAGCTTCTCTCCAGCATCCCAGCTTCTCTCCAGCATCCCAGCTTCTCTCCAGCATCCCAGCTTCTCTTCAACATCCCAGCTTCTCTCCAACATCCCAGCTTCTCTCCAGCATCCCAGCTTCTCTCCTGCATCCCAGCTTCTCTCCAGCATCCCCAGCTTCTCTCCACCATCCCACTTGGAGCCTTCACTCCTGCCCATAGCCAAGGCCCTGAGGAGGGCAGCCATGGCGGTATACAGACAGCTGAGGTTTTGTGTTCTTCCCCTTGGCTTTCAGGTCTACGATGACGGCAAATACGTATACCTGGTGATGGAGCTCATGCGAGGCGGGGAGCTGCTGGACCGCATCCTCCGTCAGCGGTGCTTCTCTGAGCGCGAGGCCAGTGATGTTCTCTATACCATCGCCAGGACCATGGACTACCTGCACTCCCAAGGGGTAAGGCCCAGGCCATGGCAGCATAGCCTGGAGGGACAAGACATGGCCTAGGCAGGGCTAGCTGCACTCCCGGTGGCCAGGCCCAGCCAGGGCGGTGGACCAGCTTCTGAGCAGCAGATGACTCAGCAGGAAAATAGATACAAGACCATGGAGGAGTCAGAGAGCTGTGGACACAGGAGTGGGAGACCTTTATAAACCGACACCTTGCCTGTAGGCAGACAGAAGGCCAGCGCTTTCCTGTAACTCTTCACCTCCATCATCTCTAAAGGGTCAGCGTTCCCAAGTGATGTATATTTCCCATGGTGTGATCTGCAATCCTCAATGGGTCTAAAGGCATGTGAACACTTGGCATATAGGGGAACCGAGTTACTGAATTGTGTGAGCCAGTTTTCTCAAGGAAAATTTGAAGCCCTGGCCTTGATAAAGAGAGATTTAGAATTTTCATTACTTGTGATACATAAAGCTAAACAGAAAGGGTAACAGTTGGCCCGGGCCCAGGCCGCACCAAGTTCTTCATGGACTCACTTCTGAGGCCTGGGCCATGTGCTTTGTATGTCTTAGGAGACCAAGCACGGGCTGGTTAAGGACCCTCCAAGGCTGCACTGCAGAACTCGGGCCACATTCTGAGTCTCAGGGCTGGAGCCTAGCAAAATATACTACTTTCTGCATCTTTTCTTCCTTCCTCCCTTACCTCCGTCCTCCCCACATCCTTCTCCACCATCCTTACTTCCATCCTGTGTGGCTATCTTCTCCTTCATCTTCCTCCCATCCTTTCCTCTACTGCGTACCTCCATCTTTCCTTTCCCCCATCCTTTACTTTCATTTGGCCCATCCCCCATACTCAGAATTCCTCATAAAGCAGGCTTGGGCCAGCTGTGTCCACAGGCTTGCCAGATCTTGCCAGATCTCATAGTGGGTCCCCTTTATATGTCTTCCTTGAGATTCAGGAGTTCTACAACACAGTTTCCCAATAGCCAGATTCTAGCAGTATCCTGAGGGTGAGTTTCCCAGACATTCTTCTGGTTAGTGAGGGAAGTAAGGGGTGGAGACAAGTCTTCCATTCTCCTGTAGCCTGCCATCAGTGTCTGGAAGCCAGGCCTGGTTGCCCAAGTGTGTCACTTCAATCTTCCTAGCAGAGCCTGCCATCACTCCACAGAGGACAGTTGGGATGTTCAGGTTCCAGGCTTCATGAAGGCACACCACATGTCTGCACAGGGGGCCTTCTGTCCCTTCAGAAGGCCTCACTTTGCATCCTGAATAGCTTCTTTGTTTTGAGGGATCGCTGGCCCTTCTGTTGTGACAGCTGTCACTGTAACAGTGGGACATACTTGAAGTCTGTCTCTTGGATGGTGCAGCTGGACTCTGTGCAGCCCTGAGCCCCTCCCTCTGCTGCCAGGAGTCAGTATGCCTGTGATGGGGATCCACCTGTGACAAGTGGCCCATGCCTGGGATGCCCCCAACATCCCCCCCTCCCCAGTGAATATAAAGCACAGGGACCTTTTCATCTCTGTAGCCAGAGCTGCCTGCCTCAGGCCCTGCTGTGGCAAAGTGCCAGCAGCTACTCCTGTGTTTCTGGTAAGAATGTGTTTATTCAGTCATGTAGTCCCTCTGTGTGAAGGCAGGCACACAGCCTTCACAGGGTACTTGGCTCTGAGTGACCAGCGTGAACGAGACAGGGTGGCCCCTCAGAAGAACACAGACTTTTCCTCCTGCTGTGGGGCCTGCCCTAGTAGTCAGTTCCCAGGTGGCCCGTGCCTCCCACACACCCTCCTTTTCTCTGCCCCTCATGACCAGTGCTTTCTGCCTTCCAGGTTGTTCATCGGGACCTGAAACCAAGTAACATTCTCTACATGGATGAGTCTGGGAACCCCGAATCCATCCGCATCTGTGACTTTGGGTTTGCCAAACAGCTGAGAGCAGAGAATGGGCTGCTCATGACCCCCTGCTATACTGCAAACTTCGTGGCTCCTGAGGTATGTCATCCCCGGAACCTGGGGAAGACAGATTCACCAGGCTGAGGAAAGCAGCCTTCCTTCCCTGTTACCACAGTAACTAGAGGGCTCTGGGCACTGGGGCAGCACAGTGGGCTCAGAAGCATCCTCAAGAGATGAAGGCAAGCCTGCTGTGGCGGGAGGAGAGAGGGCACAGTGGCTCTGGAACCAGCCAGTCCTACTCAGTCACCTTGAGCATTTTATTTTCCATTGGAAAACGTTAAATGGTACTGGTGCACCGTGGTTCTTGTGTAGAGAAATGACTCTCAGCTTTCTTGATGCTGCGACCCTTTAAGGCAGCTCCTCGTTAGGTGGCGATGCCCAACCATAACATTATTTTTGTCGCCACTTCATAGCTGTTTCTGCTACTGTTACGCATCGTAATGTGAATGTCTGTTTTCTGATGATCTTAGGTGACCCTTGTGAAAGAGTCATTCAACCCCCAAAGGGTCACAACTCACAGGTTGAGAACCACTGGTCAAGAGTTTTCCAGAAAATACTGGGGTCCCACAACAGTGTGCAGCTGAATGCTCACATGTATACAAGGGACCCACTCTACTCCCCACTCCAAACCTCTAAGGATTACAGAAGCGCAGCCTTGTCCCTGTCGGCAGCGTCCCGAGGCCAATCCCAATAGGGTCTGCCCGCTGTGCCGTGATGATGAGTCTGGCTTCTTGTGCGAGTTCAGGGGGAAGTGGGGCCACGGTGGTAGTGGCAGGGGCCGGTGTGACTGATGGAGTCAGGAGAGGCTCAGGCGTGAAAAGCGCTTTCGACCCTGTGTGCGGCCTTCCGAGTAGAACGGTCAGATCTGCTCTGAGTCCTAAGAAAGACACTGCTGTGTGCTTTTCTGAGAGGGACTCAGCGGATCGGGTCCAAGAATGACTGAGACGTCTCACGTTATGCGGAAGCTGCGTGCGTGCGAGCAGCCTTTATTCTTTTGGACATGGCTGGTTTGGAACTCTAATTGTGCCTCTTTTGGGTGCTGTTAATACTGACAGAGTGCATGCGATACCCTCATCTCATAGATTTAGGGAACAAAAGCTAATTCAGTATTTACACGACTCTGGGAGGTCACTCAGCCAGGGACTTGGAAGTATGTACTTCTTTCAACATATGATACCCATCTTACCCCATGGCACATGATGGCACATAAGGGCAGTGAAGAGAACAGGTCCCTCGCTCTCGCCTGGGAAGAAACAGAACACAGTTCTAATGCCTCGTTCAGGCCAACACGGTAGTCTACAGTGATCCATGACTATAGTCTGGGCTCACTCAAATATGAACATATCCAACAATTACCCTGTGTAAACATGTGTGACAGGATGACTCATTATAATTCTTCATAATGTTTAGTTAAGACATGCTGGGTACTTGTCGTCTGCTGGAACTCTCTGGGAGGCTGAGGTAGGAAAGTAAGGGGCTCAGCCAGCATGATAAGACCTCATCTCAAACTATAATTCAGCAATTCCACTTCCAGGTACACACCCTCAAGAATTAAATATGTCTGTCTATCCTTGTGTATACCAAGATGATTTACAACAGCAACCCAAGTATCCGCCACTGACTGATAAACAGGATATGTGTGTGCACATACCAGAATGTTAGTCATCCCTCAAAGGCCAAGAACTCTGATTTCTGCCACAGCGTGAATGGACCCTGAGGTTAGGGCTCAGGACACAACTCAGTAAAACAAGGCAGCCACATTAGACAGAGGCAGAGGAGGCACTCCAGGTGTGGTTGGTACAGTGCTTGTCTAGCATTCATGAAGCCCTGGGTTCAAACCTCAGTACCACGTAAACCAGGCATAGTGGTGCATTCTTATCCCAGCGCTGAAGAGGTGGAGACAGAAGGATTCAAGGTCATTCTTCTCTTACCGTGAGCTCTAAGCCAACACTGTTGGTTGCACTTACATGGGGTTCTTCAGGAGACCAGATTCATAGAAAATGTTGAGTGGGGTTCTCAGGGACTGGGTTGACCAGTTGGGAGCTAGTACTTAACCAGGACCAAGTTTTAGTTTGGGAAACGGGGTTCTGGAGGATGGCCGAACTGCACCATGAATGTTCACTGAATGGTACCTCTAAACGTGGCCAATATGATAAACTGCAAAACTTCTTAAAACCATGAGTCAGGCGAGGGCTGTGTCCCTGTGGAGCCCATGCTACAACACGGAAGGTAGGACTGCCCGAGCCCAGCAGATGATCCCACCCTGCCCGCTTCCCATTCACTTAGGAAAGCCTACTCTGAAATGGAGCCGTCCAGTACAATCCTGACCATGCCTATTCCCCCTCCAGGTCCTGAAGCGGCAAGGCTACGATGCAGCGTGTGACATCTGGAGCTTGGGAATCCTGCTATACACCATGCTGGCTGGGTAATGGAGGGTGTTCTTAGCATCAGGCCTGAAGGCTTCACCCCACCTCCCTGGTGCTTGGGTATAAACAGATACCAAGCGGTCCGGGTTAGGGTGAATATTCAAACCCTGCTGGATAAGGACAAGGATAATTAGCTATGTGGCCTCCAAAAACTCAGCCTACAAACAAAACATTCAGGCCTTTTGCCGACCAACCCACCTTCCCTCTACCACCTGAAGCAATCTCTTGAACTCTAGGCACTTCTTCTTCTTGGGAGGTTTGTGCTCATGTGTGCCTGACTTGTGTCAAGGTTGTGGACCAGGACTATACTTGACATCCATGATGTGATCTTTGTAAATTCAAGAATCAGTCTGTCCAAGAGCCATGACTTAGTGGTAGACCAGCTCATGAGTCCCTCAAACTTCACACCCTGGGTTCCTGGGCACTGAACCTCTCTTCAGACAGACCCCTTACCATCCTGGTACCAGTGGGACCTGGAAGGGCCCAGAAAAAGATACACACTCAGGCTGAGAGGACTTCCCTGTCTGTCTTGTTGACTTGTGGCACTGACCAACTGGTATTAGGACATGCACATCCCCTGGCATGAGTCCCCTCAGCAGAAAGCACTGGTGTGGAGCTGGGAGCTCAGTGTATTAATCCTGTCTCCACACAGGTTCACCCCTTTTGCCAATGGGCCAGACGATACCCCCGAGGAGATTCTGGCGAGGATTGGCAGTGGGAAGTACGCCCTTTCTGGGGGGAACTGGGATTCCATATCTGATGCAGCAAAAGTGAGTATTCTTCCTAGTAGTCATGCCTCCTATGCAGGAGGTTCTGCGACAGGAGTGTTGTTTTCGAGGAACCTGGGAATGCCACCCATACAAACATTACAAACATTATGGACTTTTATTCTCGGAGTAACTCACACATTATTTTTTAATGGAAAGATTTTGATGTTAATATAAAGTCTGCTGAGGAAGAGAAACAGTAGAAGATGTGGGCAAATGTGAAATAAACATAGGTCAGGATCAGAGACGGGCGGTGCGGAGGGAACTGGCTGCTGGGAGCAGGCCTCCAAGCCTGAGGTTTACAGAGTGACTCGCAGCTGGGACCCTGACAAAGGGGTGATCCTACAGAGCCCTCTGCTGCCAAAGTGCCTACTCTTTAGAGATGTTTCCCGGGTGATCGCCCTAAATGTACTTTAAAGTCAGTGAATTCAGTCACTGGCTTCACTCTCCTGCCTGTCAGACGCTAGTCTGCTATCATCAAATTATGGTCTAGTAAAATAATATACTGCAGGGCTGAGGCTGTGCGTCAGTGGTTAAGCACCACTGGTGCTTGCAGTGAATATGATTGTGGGGGTCCTGGGGAAGGTACTGATGGGGTATGGTGGAGGTGCTGGACTCTTTCCAATACTGAAAATAAGGATACTGCAGTTTAACCTTAGCGAGCTGTGCCACACCCTCTCTTCTGGGTTACTGTAAAAGTTATTCAGGAGAAGGCAGGGCTCTGAGTCAAGATCTGCTGTCACCATTGCTGTGTGACCTTGGATGGGTCGGAGCAATGGTACTCTACAGAAAGCAGAGGTCACAGAGGAGGGGATGGGACTGTGGACAATGACAGACGTGGCAGCTGGGGGTCATAGACATCTGGGGTCATGGACAGCTGGGGTCATGGACAGCTGGGGTCATGGACAGTTAGGATCATGGACAGCTGGGGTCATGGACAGCTGGGGTCATAGACAGCTGGGGTCATGGAGAGCTGGAGTCATAGACAGCTGGGGTCATGGACAGCTGGGGTCATGGACAGCTGGGGTCATGGACAGCTGGGGTCATGGACAGCTTTGGGGGATGAACTAGAAGCGGTTGTCAGTTTGGGGAGATGTTCAATATGTAGGAGTGCTAGTTTGAATACCCAACACCCAAAAACAAAAGAGAGGCATAGCCAAATATGTTCCTTTAGCTCCAGGGCTTGGTGAGAGACAGAAGGCTCACTGGAATTTGCTGACTGCCAACGTAGTTCCAGGTTCAGTGAGAGACCAGCAAGGAAATAAGGCAGAAAGAGATAAACAGGACACCTAACATCCTCCTCTGATCTCTGTACACATGCATACAGGTTCGGTTGTATGCCACACATGCATACACACAACATACACGCTATACACACTCCCCACATACACACCATACCTGCATCCCTACATGTCACATACATACAACACACATACAACACACACACACACACACACACACACACACACACACACACACACACACGCGCGCGAGCACGCACACATACACACGAGCACACACACACTATGCACGCATCCCTACATGTCACAGACACACACAGAGGTGGGGGGTTGATGGTGCAGAGGGTGGGGTAGTGGCTGAGGTGACAGTGTTGAAGTCAACCGTTGAGATGGCAGTGGAGGGTGATGAAGAATATGGGTGTGGACGTGGAGGTCCTGGTGAAGGCGGTGATGTGGTGTGGTGGACGGGGTAGCATAGAATATGGTTGTGGAAAGCAGAGGTGATGGTGAAGGATATGGGGGGGGTGACAGTGGGGGGTATAGTGGAAGTCCTGACAGAACCGATGAAGAAGGCGATGGTGGTAAGGTCATGGCAGAGGTGATAGCAATGAATTTGGTGGAGGTCCTGGTGGAGGTGATAAAGGTGTTTGGGGAGCATATCCCATGTGTTGAACCCTACCACCCAGCTGCTCCTTCCCGCGTACCCACACATTGTCTCAATGACTGTGGGAAATGTCTTAGCTTTGGTTCCCACAGCTAAGCCTCACACATGGACAGAGGTACCCTGTCTGAGCAGAGAGAAGGGACCAGAATAAGCCCATGCAACAGTGCATGATCAAAACTGCTGCCCTGGTGATGGGGTATGGTGACGGGGTATGGTGGAGGTGCTAGCCTCTGCTGCCCATGAGACCTTGATGGTTCCTCTCATCCTCAGTACCGCCTCTCCCCATGCTGTAAACTCTCCTCCTCATCATTCTCCTGCCCCTCTTCCTTCCCTCACTCACCACACAGCAGAGCCTTCTATCCTCCCGTCTCATAAGAACCTGTGACGGCATGGTTCTGAGTTTGCCATAGTTTGGTTCAAAATTCTTCTGTGATGCTGGAAATCAAAGCCATGGCCTCACGTGCTGAGTGTGTTAGTTTCTCTGCACTCTTGACAAAAACTCCTGCTGTAAACAACTGAGGAAGGATTTATTTCAGCTCACGATTTTGGAGGGCTCAGCCCATGGTCATTTGGCCTCAGGTGCTTAGTCAGCACATTATGGCAGCAGAAACAGGTGTCAGAGCCAGACAGAAAGCAGAGGAGAGACAGAACGTGTCCCAGTGACCCACTTCCTCCAGGTGGCACCACTTCCTAATTATTCCAGAATCTCTCAACATAGCACTAACACCTGGTAACCTAGACTTTAACACATGAGCCTATGGAGTTATAGTTTTCCATTTCAAACTATAACTCTAGGCAAATGCTCTGCCACAGAGTACCCCACATACCCCTGACAGCATGTTTTTTTCTACATCCTGCATGCGCTGTGACACTACGTCACAGTGCTGAGACCTTGAGCAGACAGTGTCTCATTTCTTTCATGTGGGCACTGGAGACCAGGAGCGTCTTGTTCCAGCATCACTGAGGTCTCTATAGAAAGACACTATTGTGGTATTTCTTGTGTTTGTGGAAGGCAGTCATTTTCATTAAAATAGTATTTCAACAGCTGGTTATGCCATTTAACATTTGAAATACCTCTGCTATGACATCTTCAGTGAAACATAAACTGTCTATCTACCACTAAGTCAGCAATGATCAACACTTAAAATACATTCCCGACTCATAAACCTACAAATCGTTTGACCCAAATATGCAAAGACTCACCTCAGAGTTGCAGTTGTGTTCTACTGGGCCTTCTCTGGCCAGCCTAACATCATAGCCCTTCTCGCTGTACCCTTCTCAGGATGTCGTGTCCAAGATGCTCCATGTGGACCCCCAACAACGCCTGACAGCTGTTCAAGTGTTGAAGCACCCATGGATCGTGAACAGAGAGTACCTATCCCAAAACCAGCTGAGCAGACAGGATGTCCATCTAGTGAAGGTACCTCGTGCCCAGAGTCCTGAAAGCAGACATGGAAGTCCTGGAGTGAGGCAAGGCAGTGGCTCACCGTGGGTGAGAAGAAACTGTAACATGTAAGGTCACCAGGTATAGGCACATAGGTGTCACTTTATCACATGCATAAATTGTGTTTGATTGACAGCTTTGGTGTAGGGGTGGTGTCTGGTACCGTGGCTGTACAGCCGTATGCTCCAGCACCCTCAGTTCTGGACCAGAAATCTGTAAAAGTCTCCTTTGTGCTCCTAACTCCTGTTTATAGCAGCTTCCACCTGCCAGGTGAACCCAAGGTCCAGGCTGGACCACCCTTCTAATAAGTACGTGTAGTTCAAGCCAGTCCTGTTAGAAGGCAGGTCCTGGTTGTATCTACACCAAGATGGGCCTAGCCACCCAGGTTAGTCCATACTGCTTCAGAGTAGCAGAGACTAAGAATCACTAACAATGAATTTCTGGGGATCCAGCTGGTCCCAAAACACATCTGCCCTCCTGTCAGCAGTAAGATGATCCCATTATCTTCCCAGGAAAATACCCTAAAAAGCACAAGCCCCAGTTGAACCTGGGATGTCGTGGTAGTAACCATCATGTGTGGGTTGATTATGTGGTAGGCATTGCAGCATAGCCGTTATCTTCAGTGTACCAGTAATCCTGGAGGAGGGTCTTACCTGCTTTACAAGGGGATAAACTTAGGCTCTCAAGGTCCTGTGGTTCTAGCTTCCTATTCAAGAGTACCGTGCTCACCGGCCTTCCTTTCCTCCTACAGGGCGCCATGGCGGCCACCTACTTTGCTCTGAACAGGACCCCACAGGCACCAAGGCTGGAGCCTGTGCTCTCCTCTAGCTTGGCCCAGCGCAGAGGCATGAAGAGACTCACGTCCACCAGGCTGTAGTGGCCAGCCAAGCCTCCAGCCTCAGCCTCCCTGCCCAACGTGCTCTCAGGCTCACAGACGCCAGATACAGGTCCTGTTCACAGGCACTTCAGTGCCCGTGGGTCCAGCACAAAGATGGATCTGGCCTTGGCTGTCTCTCTGTTTCCTTTGCAGGCCAGGAAAGGGTCCTGCCCAGGATGTCTGAGCCTTGCTGCGCTGACCTCGCCGCCCGCTCTCCTCCTGAGTGAAACCAAATGAATTTGTCACCTCATAGCACCCTGCTGGAGCCTCCCTGGGCTCACTCAGGGCTCTCGGTGTCTCCATGTCATGGCTTATGCTCAAAGAGCTCTTTTACCATCCTGATGTCACCTACATGTCCCACTCACTGTCTCTCTGAGAGTGTTAGTGCATGGTCCCTGCCAGGAGACTGCAGAGCCGCTCTGGAAGAGCTGGATGCCCTTGGATGTTCTGGTGACACCAGCGGCTGTGTGAAGACATCCAGCTTAAATCCTGGTTCTGTCCACAATCACCCAAAGAGTACCCCTCACCCACTCTGGTTCACAAGCGAGATGCTGAGTAACCTCTCCCCGACTCTGTAAGTGACTTGGCAGGATGAAAGCAACCAACCCAAGAGACTAAGATGGCTGAGTTTATGTGAGAGCCTGATTCGTGTTGGTTGAGACAGGAGCCCCAGGGAATTGCCGGGCAGAGCCAGTACCCACTGCACTGCTGCCCCCTAACCCTGTGGCCCCGGGGACACTGGAGTGGGCTCTGCCATTGCTGGTTGTTGGCAGCCCTGCACATGTTTACCTGAGGTGGTATAGCGTATTCACTTTCTGCTTTCCTTAGCCTGACTGAGGACAGGAGAGGCACCTAAGCCCCTTGGCCTTAGAGAGGCAGAAGGTACCAGGACAAGTTGTTGGCGGAACTGACGCGCATTGTAAACGCCGTGGTCCTGTGTTTGCATCTTGTGTTTCTGTTATCTAACCCATGTTTGCAGGCTGTGGTCTGCTTAGGGAGCGGTAGTTACATCGACCAGGCTGTCTGTGCGCATTCTTCATGCAGAGTAACCGAGTGAGACCCTTCCCGCATGGTCCCGGAGGAGGGATTGTATGTCCTGCAGTATCTCTAGGGGCTGCTGCAGACAGTGGACTCAGGTCAGAGGACACTCCACTGTGGTTCAGGTCCTGCCAGTCTGAGAGGCAGCCCCTCTGCCCAGTAGGTGTAAGAGGTACCTGTTGGTCACAGCAGGCTTGCACTGGGAAGATCACAGGTGGATCATGACTGCTTCTCCAACTCCTGCCCCTGTGGAATGTTCGAAACATAATTCCTTCGCTCAGTCTAATTATTTCAGACCTCAAAATGTAAACGTATTTCACAAGCTTTAATTACTCCACTCGACTCTGTTCTGTTTGAGAATTCTAGAGCGGGGACAGACTCTGCGCCATTTTAAGTGTCCCTAGGGATGTTCTCACACTTTCTCAGGGGGACTCTCTCTGCCCAAGGCTGAGATCACCTCCCTTTTTAATGTTCTAGGTTGGAATCCTTCCGTTTCTTGATAGAAATCTAGAGGGAAAGTACAGTGGGTAGTCTTAATGACAGGTTCTGTCCCCTTGGAAATGAGCAGGCGCCCTCTGAGGGCCTCTCTGGCATGCATCCACACTCTGGCCGCTCACAGCTTCAGGCTGGGTTTGTTTGCAGCTTTAAGCGTACATGTTAAAGTCCAACAGAACATAGAAGGCGTGTCTGAGGAGGCGAGCATGGTGTGCCCCCCCTCATGGTCACATGGTCCCATCACCTCCTTCAGTAAAGCCAGGTTATCTGCCTTACACTCAGCCTACTCTTGCCAAAGGGATGGAGGAGACCGTCACACCAAATGTATCCTCGAAGTGTTTGAAAAGGATGCTGGCTCAGCCTTGCTCTGCTGAGCGTGGAGTACCCCCACATTCCCACCCTCACCCAGTGCTTGATACTTGAAATATCTCCTGGAGTCAGCCTGAGGAGCACGTGACAGGATTATTTTAATCTCCGTTCTTTAAAGTCTTCAGTGCAGCAGCAGGTGGCTGTGGCATGTAACCCCGTGTCCCCAGTGTTTACCTGTCCTGTGACCTGTGACCCTTTACCCAACAGGACAAAAGGCCCTGTATTCTCTACACAGTTGCCTACTTGCATAGCTACAGAATCTGTCATGGGAAAGCCTAGCCTACATCCTGGGACTTCTTTACCCATCCCCAGTAGCCACTTTTGGGCTATCCCACTGGCAACTCCTGTTCTGTTCGGGCTGAGAACATGATGAGTGGCCCCACTGAAGGAGGCGGCGTGGGGTGCTTGTCAAATTCTCTTCCCCAGAGTCAACGGCAGGCAAGCCGTGAACATCCCCTGTCCTAGTCCCCTGTCCTACGGTTGGAATGTGTGTGATTTTGAACTACCTGTGTGCACTGATCTTTGGATATTGTTTGGCTTTTTAAGCGAGCATCATCCTGATGCTATCTGATGTTGACAGTATTCTTTATTAAACTATGTTCTTCCTTAAGATGCCCTTTGGGATTTCCCCTACTTTGTACTGCTTCTCTCAAGCACATGGGAAATACACCGTGACTCTTCATTCTCTCTGACACGTTTTGCCGCCCTTTACCACCCACAAGACTGTGAGACTCCTGGAGTGGAAAAGGACTCTGTGGTCCCTATGTGGCAGAGACAGGTGGAAGGGGAGGCCAGCATAGCTCATCCATGCAGGTGAAATGTACCTGTCCACCCCGAGTCCACCCCGCTCCCACCCCGCACTGCGTTTCCATGTTCAGCAGTTCCGTTTACAGCTCCCTCCATGTTCACACTGTCTGTGTTCGCAACGGGCGGCCACTGTGCCTCCATGTTCACCCTCTGTCTGTGTTTGAGACGGGCGGCCACTGTACAGATATTTATTATGCTTTCCAAACTTTCCCATGAGATTTTTTGAATAAACATGGATTTTATGAAGTGTAATATTTTTCTGGAATAATGAGATGCTTTGCACTTTCTACGTTGCTACTGATAACAGTTCACAGACCCCTCCCTAGTCCTGTCTTCCTCTGCCTGTGGGTCACCGTGAGCCTCTGGTGCCACTGAGCTTCGCAGAGGTGGCGTGTGTGCGTGTGTGTGTGTGTATGTGTGTGCGAGTGTACATGTGTGCACATGCACATGCATACACACCTGCATTTGCAGTTTGGAGTTGTAGAGATCTGTCCTCTTTAGAATCTTGTGTAAATGTGTCTGTGTGCCTTCATATATGTACACCTCGTGGGGAAATGAGTCAGAATACCATCCACTACAATTTTAGAGCATTGTGTGGGGAGGAGCAGTTTTATATAAAACACATGCTCATGAATGTATGAGAACATGTGCACATGGGATCATTATGTATGTATTAAATGTTTGCATGCATTGTAGAGAGGTATGAGTTGGGGCATATTTGCATAAATGCAAGTGAGTGCATATATATGTATATGCGACATCCTGTCCTGTGTGAAGCTGGGAGCAGTGACATGCTGTGCATCAAAACAGGTGACGAAGAGTTGCTTTGTCCCCTGACCTCATGGGTCCTGCCTTCCTTAAATTAGGTTAAAAAAATGTACCTACACTGTTAGTCTTTGACTCTTTGGCCTAAGTTCTCAGTTAGTGAATCCCTAGGGAGTTTGTGTCAATAGGCAATATCTGTGTGCCCTTTGCTTACCCTCCTGCCCCGTGCCCTGCATGTACCACACAAACACAGATGTATGCTTGGCTGTCGTGCCAGGCTGCCCACCACAGAGATTTTTCTGACCCTGTTGGAGCTCTGAGCAGGCAGAAACACCAGGGCCCCCTGAAGAGATTTCAGCATGACAGCAGAGGCACAAGAAACCAGCTCCTGTCCCTCGGGGCGTGCTTACAAGACACATGAAACACATGGAAAGATCATTTGCTCTCCTAGTCCAGTCTTCACCTTAACTCCTCTTTGTCTCCCAACCTACAATACAGGGTTCTAGGGATTTGGGATGGGGATGGGACGGGGAGAGCAGCTCCATCCCACCTGCCCGAGTCCCACACAGCCAAGTGTGGGTCTATTTCCAGCTGTGGGCCTCTGTGATTTCTAGGTTGGAGAAATCAGATATGAAAAATTACAGTTTTTTGGCCTTTGCCCCACTTACAGGTGAACAAGCCTGCCAGTCCTGAGGACTCTATCAAAGACTCATATCCATGGGAGAAGGGACCACACAGCTAACAATAGCATGAACCCTGTATGTTCAGCAATCCCAAGGCCCCTAAGAGGGGCTGTAAGCAAATCCACCCATAATTAACACTGAAGTGAGCGTTGCCTATAAAGAAAGACACTGGACAGGTAGCTCACCTGCCCTTCAATGCTGTCCACTCCACAGATGTCCCTAGAAAGTTAGTTAAGAATCAAAGCAACTGTGATTGCAACATATAAGAGGCCGAGAGATTTGCCACCACCACTCCTTCCCCTGCCCCAGCAGGTGACTCCGCATTTCCAGCAGAAAAGTTCTCTATGGGTCTGCTGAGCTTGGGAGAAGATGGGCTTGGCCTGGGCTGTCACTGTTTCTTCTGCCCTTCTCAGCTCAGCCATATCGAAGCAGCACCCACCTCCAAAGCATTGCAAATAGCCATCTGCAGACTTGGCTCTGGGGATCACTTTTCTCAAAGCTCAAGTAATTGTCTGCCCGAAACTGCATCAACAACTGCTGAGATGAAGTCTCTCAGAGTGGCCCACCTCACTCTGGGACTGAAGAGTCACCTAATTTGGGGATCAGGAATTCTAGTAGTTAAGTCCCATGTCCTTCCCCACATAATGAATAAATTTCACCTGCAAAGCAGACCAGACACGACTGGACAGTTATATCCAGAGTGGCTCAGGGTGAGGCTCTTCCAGGTCACATGATGCAAAAGTCACCTGACCTGGGAGTTCTGTATGCTCTGTCATAAAGGTGGTTCTAACTCTCAAGAAATAGGCACCTGTTAGCAAGGAGAAAGCAAAACAATCACCGAGTGAGTGAAATACAGAGAGGGAGGGGGGCAGCCTGCAGGGAAGGAGCAGAGAGCAGAGGGAGCTGCTGGGTATTGGGTTAGCTGAGGAACCAGAACACAAACCATGTCCTGGCCCTGCTCTCCCAACAGCTGACTTATCTACCTGATCCCCTTTCATGGCTAGAAACCCTGATCTAAGATAAAAATAAATAATGACACCGGCATGTAGTCGCAGCAACTTGAGAGCCTGAGGCAGGAGGATCACCTGAGCCCACGAGTTTAAGGCCAACCTGAGCAACACAGCAAGACTTGAGATAAAACAGCAAAATGTAGAATTGACAAACCTGTCCATGTGGCATTGTCTGTCCAGTGTGGATGTTTGTCACTCTGCTTCGGTGAGGAAAGATGGGTACAGAGGGCATAGTCCATGCGTTCTTTTCATCCCACATGAGCTCAGGCAAGAAACCAGTTCTTACCACAGCACCAGTTTCAGCAGCTTGGGAGGAAGTGCGGGTTGGGAGTGGGTTCTGTCTGCCACTGGCCTCCCATGCTCTACCCCAGAGTATGGGACTTGTGGTACAATTGGAAATCCTGGCCACGGGCAGACTGGACTGACCCCACAGGCTACCACACTCCATGCCTGCGATTAAAACTAGGGACCCAGAGACTGGATTCAGCAGGATTTGCTTCTCAGTCCTGACTTGCAGCTGAAAAGGCAAGTATGCCCTCAGAAGAAAAGAATGTTTAACTTCATTTATCCGAGATCAGAGTTAGACTCCTCACCTAAACCTAAACCAACCGAACTGTACTATCGATAACAGTAGTCCAGTTACAGGACACTGCCATTCGAACCCAGAAACCCTCCCAAGCATTCTAAAGCCATGAAATCCTCAGCACCAGACAGGAGCACTCTCCAGGTTTGATCTCTGAACTCGCAGGAGCCATGTCATCCCGCAAGGCAGTAGTGGACGTGGTGGTGTGTGCTTATAGAGGACCTTGGGCTTCAAGCCAGCCTGGGCTAAGCCAGCCTGGGCTATGCAGTGAGAGTTTGAGTCAAAGAGGAGGAATAATGATAAATCACTAAAGCCCCCAGCCCCAAACACAAATGGTCCCGAAGCCCTTTTCAAACCGTGTGGAACAGGGACAAAGCTAAGTTCACATGGATGAGTCTCCCTGTCTCACAGCTGAGCCTCAACCGCTGTCATTCACCATAGGTGTAGGGGTCAGGATAGGCTGCCAAAATATGGCTGCTTGGCTTCTGAGGAACCAGTATCTGGAAGGTGCCTTCCACCCTGCCCTCTGATGTAGGGCATGATGACTAACTCCACATGCTACCGATACACATCACACACA